CAATAGAAGTCCTATTTAAATGAAGCTTAACAATTTATTAGATGAGAAACATATAGAAGCCAGTGTTACGGAATAATACCACAAACGACAGCTATACAAACCCGTTTCTATGAATATCGAATGGAATTACACTTACAATTCGCGTAATGTAATAGGACGAACGTACCTGAAACAGTCTCTAGCGTTGCGTTGGAATTAATTGAAGCAGTCGAGTGCGCAGCGAATGAAATATAATTCCATCAGTGCAGAGCTCTTTGTAGACGAATAGTGGAAGGTACATTTCCGTATACCCCTTCTAATCGTTTCGATAATATTTTTGTTTCTAACCGAAGATTATATATCTGTTAGACGTAGGTTAGGTTGGCGAAATAACGACACAGTATAGACACTTTACACTTATATTCCAGCAGAGTAACTCCTTATCCAATACAAGACAGAATACAAGAACACAGAATCAATGTTACAAACCGTACTATAGCAATCTGACAAAAGTCTGACATAAGATGCACTGTCGATTACATTCGGAAACTGACAGACTTAAAGCAAGTTTACACTTTACGACTTGTCTATCCGTTAAAAGAAGTTTGTGATCCTGAATGTCGATATTTCTACAACACATACATGTCTAAATTATGCAGACAAAGTCTAACGTGTTTTAGCGAAATTTGAAATCTATTAAGAAACATGTTGCGGGTGAACTCGAAGCCACAATTAGTTGTTTATTTGCAAGAAACTCGTCGATTTAATGGTAGCAATGTAAATAAAACACTTAACGGTTTAAAACCGCGATATATTAGTAAACTAACTTTTTTTTTTTGGGGGGGGGGGGGGGGGGGGGGGAACCCAAGTTTCTTTATAACTCCACCGAAGATAAACTAAAGAAGTAACAATTTCTAAAAAATAAATGAAGGAGAACTTTCCTTAATACATAATGAAAAACATATCAATAACGTGCTTTGTTATAACTTGTATTATGAATACACTGAGTCTTTTTCTTTTTATAGTTACTATGTCTTTTACATGCAGTACTTACATTAATTTGTATGATGTCGTATCGCGCCGCAATTAAGTGTTGCATAAAATGCATTTCTTTTTAAAGTTGTAGCACTGTGTCCGATGGGGGTAGGGTTGGGGGGAGAGGGTGCCCGCTACACACAATACACCGCAATCTCGTCTGCCATCCTTCTTACAGATCATTCGGGAAATGAGTCCACGCTATGCTGAATCCATGTTTCTTAAACTGTCAAAAACCTAAGGCTTACTAATAATTTATTCTAACTTATAATCTAAAGCGTTAATGTCAATAAACATTACACAATAGGTACACGTTATTGTCTCTTAATCTGTAAGTTCTATTTATTTATTTTAAACATGAGCGAATGGATACATATGCAAAAAAATGAGAAAATAATTTATAAAAAGTTAATTGATTTTTTTTACTTCAAATCATTGATTTAACATACAGACAGAGATAGACAAAGCAGATCGTAGCGACGAGATTTCAATAACGTTATGGAACTAAACCATATAAATAAAACACTTTTAACGGTTTCAATCGCGAAATATATTAGTTAACTAATTAATTTGTTAATTACGCCTCGACGTCTTGGACACTTTGCAGCAGCCGTGGTCAATGTGCCGGGGGACGAAGTGATGAAACGTATTTTATTTACATGTGTTCTACTCGCGTAAACAAAGGATATTACTTGACTAAACCATTGTTGGTGTTTTTTTTGAAATATCAACATTAACTAACTGTAATAAATATATACTTTTTTGAGGTTTAAAATTACTTTCGTCTCTGTATGACTAGTGCTCTGAGACGGTGGCGGCGTAAAATCGTGCCGCTGCAGGATTCATTTTCTTTTCATCAAGGTATCTTCACGCTCCACGGACGACGTCACCCCATTCCCCCCTATCCTAGCGCCCTACGTCACCCATTCGCGACCTCTAGTCCCAGCATTTGAAGACATCTTAATTTATGTCCATTTAAAGAATGTAGTTATAAAGTGGAGAAGTTTTTAGAAAACACTAATAATCTATCACTACATAGTATAAAACAAAGTCGCATTTTTTCTCCCTGTGTACACATACATAGGGAGAAAATGGTTGGTGTTTTTACGTTTAAATCTTTAAAACTACGCAACGGATTTTGATGGGGCTTTAAAAGACGTAATTCAAGAGAAAGGTTTCTTATATTCAACTAGTTCTCGAGTTATTTAGTATGACCATTGCACCCGAGCGAAGCCGGACGGGTCGCTAGTACTAATATATATATTATAGGGTCAAGAATTTGTTTGTTTATTTTTTCGTTTGAACGCGATAATCGCAGGAAGTACTGGTTTGAATTGAAAAACCTTTTTTGTGTTAGTTAGAGCATTTATTGAAGAAGGCTGTAAAACATTCTACTGTGACTACTCGGAGCGAAGTAACAGAGGGAAAGCGAAAGAAAAGGAGGAAGATTATTCATCTTTGTAGATTTCCGATGCGTACTTACAAAAACAGTTACAGTTAGATGCTCAAATATGTATGAAAGAATGATTTCTCATTAAATGATCTTAGAAATGGCCGGGCTACTTTATGTGTATTTTTTTAAGAGTGACTCGCAAGAATGGGACGCAACCACAACGTTGTTGGTTGCAGTTAAATATAAATATAAGAAAAAAGTCAAAAAAAGTGGTGCTCTTTCGCGGACGAAGTCGCTTACACACCTAGTATTGTTATACGAGCATTTATTTAGCTCAAAGACTCATTCAAATAAGCTCTTGAAGGCGGTATATTAAGTTAGTCGGTAGATGGAGACGGTTCTAATATTCATTTCAAAAGCAATCGCCTTCATTTAATGTAGATTAACTCTCGGGAACAGCGCTACGGCGCTACGGAATGCTACGTTGCTACGCCGTAGGTCCTGTTCCCACCTGCATTCTATTCGCGTTGAATTTATAATACAACCATCGAATTAAATTTAAATTTTCATCGTTTTAATTATCTACTAAGTTGCAGTGTTATATAAAGTGTCTCAGTAAAGATTTTATTCAAAATTTACAATTTACTGTAACTGATAAAAAAACATAATACGTGATTATAAGTCCTTATAAATCTTTTTTATTTATTATATTATATTATTTACCGCAACCATTGCCATACGTTGCTTCAAAAGTCGCGCAAAATACCCCAGATCTAAAAAAGATGCGCTATCGACTTATGTTTTGCTCTTCGCTTTGGATATTCGGAAATCCATTAACATTTAACTTCACGGCTTTTTCTGTGGACGGTGGATTGTGACCCAGGCGTAATTTCGAAATTCTTATAACAAAATTAAAATACATATTTCCAGTCGAAGTCCAGACATGTCTCAGAAAAATAATAAATTGATTAGAAAAGTTTTGGACCCTTGTGGGGATCGAACCCACGACTCGATGACCACGACTTTGAGTAATTATTAGCTATTGCTACCATTACACCGCCGAGCCGTATGATTTGATGAAAAAAACTACATAAAAAATAGTATACTAACATTTAAATAACACATTTTAAATTAAACGGGTTTATTAAACTTTTTTTTAAATTATTTTAAATACCGATGCTTTGCAGCAGCTGTGGTCACGGGGAGAGCACCCAAAACATCGCACCTAAGTTAAAATAATTTTCAATTACATTTAACTAATATATATCACATTTTAAACCGTTAAACTGTTTTATTTATTGTACTACTCGCGTAAACTACAAACAGTATTTAGTATGCTAACAATTCCTGTCAACGATGAAAATCAGTACCACATCGTATCCACTGTCTCGTGAAAGTGTATCATGAGCTGTCTAGTTAGTGGAACTCGACGATTCCTCTCAAGTGTCGTCTCCGCCTCGAATGCTGTGGCTGCAGGCATCGTACTCTATACAGGCACATCTCAGTAGTCTACCAAGTTAGCTAGGGTGTACACGTCGCGCAGCAGTACTCTGGGAACAACTCCGATCGGACAAAATGAAAACTTTACAATTATTGCCTTGTTCAGTGTAGTGATGTTCATTTAAGGATTATTATGACTTAAAGGTGAGTTTTAATAAAATTAAATAACTTTATTTTTTGAATAAATTTGTTGTTCAAAATTATTCGTCAATGCTTAAGAATAATTTTATAGATCAACTTATCTGTATAAAAATACAAGCTTGCACTTTTTAATGAAATATTATTGTCATTTGTTAACTTATTTAAAACGGGATTTTTAAAGTTAAACATGTACAATTACAAAAAAAAACATAAAACTCTAATAAGTATAGTGTAAATTCTTGTTTATAACGTAAGTAAAACAATTTGGGAGATTTATGGTCCTAATAATTTATGAGAGACTTTATAAATTAGAACTTTTTATCATCATTTTTAAAAGTAGCTTGATAAATTTATAACCAAACAATGATACAGTCGAACTTAATTGTGTCAATTTATAAACAAAACCAATGTTATCTATCTACCTTCTAAAATTTGTTTTTAAATTGTAACCTTTCTAAGTTTTTATATGCACGCCATACGCACTTGCGGATACTTTGTTGTACATAACTTTTTAATATTTTAATGAAAGAAGCACTTGTACTCTAGCAATAGTAATACTATATTAATTATAATTCGGGCAATGTTATTGTTAATAAAAATAATTAATGTTAATGTTCTTAAAATTATGTTAACAAATTAAGAATAAAAACAATAAAAGTAATATTATTACAAAGACGTTATTGCAGCGCCGAACATATCGGCTGTCTAGCTTATTTATCTATATATAATAGCTAACAGATTCTGAGGTGTGTTAGGACTTATACACATTCGCCAACCAAGTGATTTGCATCTATCTGCTTTTAAGCATCTTTAGAATTGAGGAACGCGGACAGCGTTATGGTTGTTTGTAAAACCTTTATTTAATAAATTAACAGAATTAATGCACATTCAAGAATTGTCAATATTATTGTATAATCAATGGGTGTAAATTTATGGTTTACAGGTGGTAGCCATGCTCCGGATCGCATTTCGGGTCTTATTTGTTACGTATGCAGCGAACAGTAAGTTTTATTAACTTTTTTTTTAGGCGCTTTGCAAGTGCATTGTGATAGAGAATTTAAGCTAGTTACGTTGACAGGTAACAAAACCTGACGATAAACCAACCCGACCATATCGAAAAATAGAACACGAAATGTTGAATTATTAAAACTTGTATGTCTGTGTAATCATGCTTATTTTCGAAAGTAATGAATTAATTCTATCGCAGCTCCTACTAAAAGATAAGGCTTAGCTTGGCGTAAGGCTGTACTTGGGTTTCCTTGAAACTAAATATCTTATATTTATTCTCAGTGGATAATACCGTAACGATGATTATAGCAAGTACTTGATGGTATATATTATTTGAAAGACCTAAGTACTCTGTTCTCATGGGACTGAACTATCAATATTTTAAATTTAATTTTATTTAAAAAAATATATATAATACGCTGTTGAAAATTACATTTTCAGACGAGCAAGCTACAAGAAATAATGATTATTTTACTTTTATAATTAACTATTCATCTGTACAATGCAAAGTTAATTCTATACTTGTACCCAATTTGTAAAATGTCGTAGATATGGAGCTCTGATTAAGTCGATTCTGCCCGAATATTAAGCGGGACCCGAAGTAATTAAAATGTTTTAACATAGCTTCATTTCACCTTTATTAAACGAAACGAGATCAAGCGAAGCGCAGAAGGTATATAATAAAATCACAGATGTCTAAATTAAAAACCCTAAAAGTAAAAAATTGTTCTTTTTAACATTAATGGATAATACTTTGCTCAAATAATTATTAATTTATTAACAAAAAGACTTGTAATTTTACAACAATACAATTTTGAACTTTTCGGCGTTAGACTTACATTTAACATTGCTGTCATTTTTAGTCTGTTCCGTTTTAAATAATAATAAATAACGCTGAGTTTTATTCTTGAACGAAACGTAAAAACTCACATGGATGTTTATAAGTCAAAAAAAGACAACAAACCTGGGCCATACTCCATTAAATTTCCCAAGCGTATAAAATCTAAATAAGGTGTGATGTCATTTTTTTTTGGGTTTTGACATTCGGATATCCGTAAACTGAAACTGAAGATTACACTTCACGGCATTTCCATTATAGATAGCATTAAAATATGTATCATTCAATGTTTATGTATGGCTAAAAAATTATACATTTTATGATTTTGTAGGTGTAAAGGCCATTACACCAACAAGCCAATTCAATGTGTGTTATATAAATCAGCATTTTGCCTACTACTATTGAAGAAATGTGAGCATGTATAATATACGAATACACCACATTTTTAGCTGTGCAAAAAGACTTGTATCCGGATTTCTTTGTCAATTGTCAACGTCTATGTCATAAATCATTTAACTTGTTTTATTTTTTGTTAGTTACCGGCAAGCAATATAATATTTTCAAAATAATCTAATACTTTGTGAAAAAGAATATAATGGTGTTCAAAATACCATTTTTTTAACAAGAGCTTGGCGGTGATGCCAATAGAACGTCTTAATTTCGGTGAAATATTTAAGAAAAACTTGCCGGTATATAATTGGTCATTTTAAAATATAAGTTGTTTACACACACAAACTTTGCCACTATGCGTTAGTTCTTATAGCAAAGCTTTCTCTTATTCTTTCATATTTATATATTTAAAAAGGCTTACCAACTAAATACGTAATAAAAGCTTAAACTACGGAACAAGTAAATATAAACTTATATTATGACAATTATGTATTTAAATTAAATTGTAGTTATAAAATTTTTAATAAAATTTGTCTCGAAAGGCGTATTATTGTCTGAACTTTGATTTCGTTTTAATGACAAAACCGCCCGGCAGTAATATGAATTTCTCCTGTTAATAAATTTACAGACATGTATTAGTTTATAAGACATATTTAAGAAAGCTGGTCTGAGTTTCTTCTCAGTTGTGTTGCTCTTTTGAACACTGTAGAATAACGATGAACAGACAGACAAACGAAAAAAAAAATTGACGAATCTAAATATTTTTTTATGGTGTTATTTTTTTTATAGGTATGCATAAAATTTCTTTAAAGACAAGTAAGATATAAAATATGTGGAAGTTGATTTCATATATAGTAATAATATTGCATTCAAGTTTAGTCCTTCACAGGTATGTAATATTTCATGTCATTCTATGTGTCTGAACAGGTGTGTGGGGAGACACATCACAAGAGGTACCTCTGGGGCCCGTCTTTGCGTCGGAGCCCCCTGGAGTGGTGCAATATGCAAGCAGAATAGGGGCCCGTCTTATATGCAGTGCCACAGGTGACCCAAGTTTGGCCCCTCCTGTCGTCACATGGCTTGCTGATGATGGAACTGTGCTCACTGACCTATCAGGCATTAGGTATTTACATACTAAATATTGCAGTATATATATATTAAAAAAAATATATTTATATATCTTTTTTAAATATAGTAGGATGTATGATGCACTACAAAAAAAAAAAGAAATTCAATAAAAATATTGACACTAGTTAAGAGAAGACTTAAGACTTTTTAAGTCTCAAAATAAATCTTTATTAGTTTTATTTAAAAAATAATAATTATTAATTAGTGCACACAAGATGCTAAATCCATATTGTCAATTAAATTAACCCAGTAAGACTATCAATCAATTTTGATACTTCATATCCATGCATATGACTTGGTCATTGTGTTAATATTTATTAAGTTTTGTATGTAAAAATCACCACAAGACAAACCTTCATAAAAATGTATAAGTCGTGTAGATATATGAAATTTATTAAATATTTTGAGGCTTTTCAATTTTAGACTTGCGTCTAATTTCTTAATATTCAGTCACTCTTACAGTAATAATTATGGCTTGAACTGTAATTAATATCTAAACTTCAATAATTTTTACAAACCATGCAACTTAGTTCACAGTTTTGTGTGCAGAAATGAATTAGTTTAACATACCTGTATGTTTAAATTGTTTGTAACCAATTAAATTAATTTCCTAATGTTAAACAGTAAATACATAATCAAATATTTATGTATATACAGATACATAAAAGTATTAACTCAATGTATTATAATCGCAGGCATGTACATTCAAACGGTACATTGGAATTGTTTCCCAATGCTGGAGCCGCGGGGATACACGGCACAGTTAGGTGTCGGGCTAGCAATGCTCACGGTACTCTGATCTCCAGAGATGTGCACCTCATCCCAGGTTTGCCCATCATCATTCTTACATTTTAACATTTTAATGCTATAATACAATGCTAATGTGTAACTTGATAATTTCCAGTCGGTGAAGGTCCTTGGGAGGTCTCAGTAGAGGGGGCAGCTGTGCTTGCGGGCGGAGTGGCAGCGCTTGCTTGCCGAGTCACGGGTGCTCCGGCTCGTGTCAAGCTATGGTATCGTGACGATACCGTCATCGCGCTGCCGTCGCCCTCGCCAGGTTACCTTAATCCTTTTTTAGGTTGTGTATGTTAGGTACTAGGTGACATGGCAAACATTCTTTTGCCATATGAAATCTTTGGTTACCGTAAAACGATTTTGTGAGTTAATCCTAAAAGACATATATTGTCATCAACATTATTTTAGGATATTTAAAAATAAAAAACAATAATTCTTTCATACACCGTATACGTAGCGTACGCAACCGATACCCAAGATTGAAGAAACAGTGGAAAAAAACTTCCGCATTTTTTCCACTGCTTGCCCGTCGTTGATGTTTTCTAGCCTAAAGTCTTCCTCAAAAAAAGAGAGAAGTTTTCAATACAAACCAAGAGTTCCCAGATTAGCGCGGCCAAACAAACAGACTCTCCTTTCTTTGGAATTTAGAATAAATAAGAGAAGAAATATAATAATCTTCGTTTTCCACAGATTCCAGGTATCTTAGCGCGGGTGACACGCTTCTCATTCGTGATGTGTCTCCAGCCGATGCAGGCCCCTACAGCTGTTCAGCAAGACACGAGCTGACGGCGCTGACTCGTCGCTCTCCCCCCGCCCTCCTGCAAGTACTCTGTATGTTGACATATTTGATACTAAAAGATTTTACGGTTTAATTTAAGCTTGACAGGTCCCAGGTTCGAATACCGGGTAAAGCACTAGTTGTCTTCTGAAAATAAAATTAATCAGTGATATTTAATTATTATGGTACATTAACAGATCACTTAGATGTAATACATTATACTTAACATCACAATAAGTTAAGATACCTATGTAGGACCCAATTACTGATGTACACAGCATTGTTAACTTAAAATTAATGTTTCAAAATATTTAGAGTACAGAATTCGAACCTAATTATAATTAAGTGGCTATAGTTGCAATACTTTATTTTTAAATCGTGTAAAAGAATCAAAGTAAGGATCAGCGTCGGTGATGTCTGGCGTGACATTATTAAGGGTCTCACATACACGGTACAATGGACAGCTTCGACTTTTTTGGTGCATGAAGATAAAATACTTTTAAGTGTTTCAGTCTTGTACTTTTTACACCCGATCTCTTAGGAGCAATTTTACAGGAAGAGCATTTCCATAAAGCCTTGGCGTCTCTTGACATGTTTTTAAAGTTTGTAGTAGTCCAAGCGGCGCATGTATAGTGATATACTTGAAAACAAATGTTCCAAGTTAAAAAATATATTTTACTCAAGTTCAAGACGCAAAATGTTCAAATATTATTAAAACTATAGGTATTATACTGATTTTTTTTACTTCTACAGTAGACGCACACTTTACTTTAACACTTAAACAGTTTTTATAATTAACTTCACGTTTTATCTATTTTTTAAATTGATATTACGACAGAGTAACACTTGAGTTGACTATTGTTTCGAATGCATTCATGCCATGCACTCCATGCTCCAGGTTTCTAAACGGGATTTCTCTAATAATTCATATTAAGTATACCGTTCAGAAAAATACTTTATCCCATAGCAAACTCGATGACGACCGGGACGGCGCCGCGGGCAGTCCCAGCTCGGGATCTCTCTGTCCCACTTGGAGCCCCCTTTCTGCCTTCCGTGCGCCGCGGCTGCGCCATCTCCACCACCTCACTTCACGTAAGCGTGGTTTTCTTTCATAAAAAAGTCTTAAAGCTTTAAAGCATTAGACAAATAATGACAATCTCACAATTTTTATAGAAACGACAAATAACAAACAATCGATACAAAGAGTAGTACAAGGTGTAAATTGTAGGCCCTTTATATATATAATATTTTGATAATAACAAAAATGATACCTCTTAAAATTTAAAAAAAGTCAAAAGAATTTTGTATAAGATTGTCATGTTTTGATAGTATAGATCTATATTATTACGTTATTTGCCGACTTTCATTTGTCGTCACTACTTTAGCTACAGTTTTTTTTAATGTTATGTATTGCAAGATTTTATGTTTTATTGTTATTGTAAGTAAAATGTTATTTTATATTACTTGTTCTTAACAGAGTACATAGTACAGATGGAAAAAATTATAAGATTCTGCAACAAACCGGAAGGTTTGAAGGGGACACGGGGAAGTTGGATGACCCAAAACCTCCACAAGTGGAAATGGGGAAATGGGTGAAATGGTCAGCTGATAGTGTGAACTATCACCAGTCCTACCACAGGGTCCCCAAGAAAGAATGACCCGTTGTGAATGTTGTCCTCAGGTGGTATCGAGAGAGCGATGGTCGACTGAAGCCGGCGGACGAGGGCGAAGACACGTGGCGTTGGGCGGGAGGGGCGGCGCTGTGCGTCAGACGCGCCGCCTATGTACACGACGGCGCGTGGCTCTGTAAAGCGTACAACGTCTTTGGAGATGCGTCAGCGCAGACTCGCGTTGACTTGCAGCATGATCTTGTGGTTGAGGTGCGACCGAGAGCGATTGCGGCTGAGGCGGGCGCCACCATTCGCCTTAACTGCACTGCGAGCCGCCCTGGTGCCCGCCTGCAGTGGCTACACGACGGAGCACCCTTAGGTGCAGGAGGGGCACAACTCGTGTTGAGAGGGGCGGCTCGCGCTCACCGTGGGATTTACCAGTGCCTTGCTAGGGATGGACTACGAAGCGCCCAGGCCGCTGCGGAGATTCGCCTCGGAGGTATTATCCCCCACGTACTTTTTTAATCTTCCAGTCCCTATGACTATTAAATATATAAAATTCCATTATTTCTGCATCAGAGTCTCCACCCGAGCTGCAGTACACATTCATTGAGCAAGCGGTCCGCGCTGGAGCCGCCGTAACATTGCGTTGCGCCGCCGCTGGCGCCCCTCCGCCTACCATTCGTTGGCTGCTTGATGAGCAGCCACTTGAGCGCCACTTGGCGGCGCGGCAGTACGCCTTACGCGAAGAGCGAGGTGCGGCAGGGGAAGTTGCGTCCATCTTAAAGATGGCGGCTGTAAGAGCAGCCGATGGGGGCCGTTACTCATGCCGTGCCTCGAACTCGCTCGGTGTAGTGGCTCATTCAGCCCGCCTTAACGTTTACGGTACATGCATTACATCTTTACTAGCTGAGTCGGCGACCTCGTCCGCGTGAGATAGTTATTTTGGGCATCAACATTTATTTTCGTAAACAACCTTGGCTTTAAAAATTATAACTGTTACTCAACTTCGGCATCGACCCGTTGTTCTTGCAGAGTAATCTTAAAAGATATACTGAATTGATATGCACATTTTTTTTTGTAGATCATTTAAAATGGAATCATTTTATCATATTGTTTAGTTTCTTGATTTGTTTTTGCAGCGCATGCTTGGTACCATTCTACTGTGTGTATAGAGCCTTTCCCAACACAAATAATTTTTCAATTCGAACCCGTAGTTCTTAGCGCGCTCAAACAAACTTAGCTTAAACATTAAAAACAAAGTCTTCAGCCTTCCACCGTTAGTATAGACAATACACATAATAATATATAAGTAGTTTAAGGACTTTTAAAAGTGTATAAATGTAAATTTCTTCCCCCAGGAGCGCCGTCCATTCGCGCTTTAGGAGCGGTGCGCGCAGTCGCCGGCGAGAACTTCACGCTGCTCTGTCCTTACGCCGGATATCCGATCAGGTCTATAGAGGTGCATTCGATAGCGTAATAATATTTCTTATAATATTATTATAGAATTAATTATTATTAATTTTAGATATAGAAAAACACGAAGTGCGCGCTTTAGTGATTGCTTTGAATCCCCAGCTCGGTGCGTTGGACGGGCGGGGTGTTGGTGGGTTCGGGCGTGGGTGGAGGGGGGCGGGTGTGGACGCGTAACGAGGTTCTTCGTTTGGGGCCAGCGCTGCCTTCAGACGCCGGGCGTTACGTGTGTACAGTCACTGCGACGTCCCACACACCGGCTGTTAGGGATTTCGAGATACAAGTCACCAGTACGTACGTCGATGTAGCAAGTGTCGGAAATTTTTGATTTAGTATTGTCGATTTTAATATGATTTCATGCCCAAGTAGTATTACATATTTAAATTAATTTAATAACATCACTAGCTATTGTATGTAAGGACTTTCTATCGCATTAGGATAATACTGTAAAGGTTACGCTGCTTTAAAAAAATATAATACAATCACTTTAACAGACCCACCGAAGATATCACCGTTTATGTTTTCGCCCGAACTGATGGAGGGCAGCTCGGCTCAAGTGTTGTGCGGCGTGTCCTCAGGAGACAAACCCATATTCTTCTCTTGGCTGAAGGATGGGAAACCATTACCATCTGACTTACAGGTACTGAGAGTGTTACATTACACATCTTTCATACGCGATCTCTTGTGGACTTGTCTTTATCAAAATTGTAAATTTTGAAATTGCGCGTTAGATAGATTATTTTCGGAACGCGTTATATAAATTTGCGCTTTATTTTATATTATTGAGGACACCGATAGAAGGCCCTAGTGGTCAGTCCTACCCATATCCCCATTCCCCCTTAAGGAAGACAGTGTTTTATAGGAAATAGAGTTCTCACCTATAAACCTTTTTTACAACCGCCTATATACATTCAAACGTTCCTTTTTCTTTGCAAAATTTTATAATAATAATGTTAATTTTATTTTTATTTTACAAACATATTTATACCTACTAATGAGTCGGTTATTCCCTCTTATTTGTCTTGTTAAGTGTTTCGTCTTTTTTATTTAGTTCTTTTCATTAATGTAGTATTTTATAAATGATATGTTTAAAGATTCACGACATTTTTTAATTAAATTGTTGTGTAAACTAAATTAGCCTTTTATCCACCTATAGACATTATGAAAATAACTATTTCCTAATTGATTTATAAATTTTACCATTCCAACTCTTAAATTAGTTTCTCCTACTTGCTGTGTATACTTTTACTATGTAAAAGTCCTTTTTGTTTATTATTCCTTACCCATTTAATAAGCTTTTTTTTTTTTCACCTATACTTCATGTTGCCTGGTAGATGATGATCGCCGCTTATCGGCTAAAAGGCCTTTTATTTATAAGTTTGTACGTTATTTTTTAACTTGTAATTTTTATTTCGTGGTGTGTATTATGAGTAATAAAGCTGTAATATGTAAATATTTCAGATCGAGGAGAAAAGCCTAAACGAATTTTCTCTGCTAATGTTTTCGGAACTCCGTGCTGCCCACAGCGGCCACTACACATGCCGTGTCTCAAATCACGCCGCCACAGTCAACTATACAGCTCTTCTTACTGTCAATGGTGTTTTTTATTATCTTTATTTAATAGGCTTTATTTAACCTTACGATACTGTATTTTTTCATACTTGGCATTTTTGGTAAGCAAACACGCAATTTATATGAAATCGTAATTTTCTCACGAGGTGTACATTCATTTACACAAAAAAATATTTTGAGACAATGGAAAACTAATGAAAACCTTAAATAATAATTTAAAAATTTAAACAATTAATTTACGTACATGCACACTTATAACGTCCTTAGTTTAACAATTAGATAAGGAGGATGTAAGCAAATTCAACGACTAAAGAAGGTAGAAGTCCCACTCATGCTCGTATGCTGAAAAGCGTTAAAAAAAGTCGACTGAAATAATTAATAAGTCAAAACAGTGATTTTGAGTTCGTTTAGTCCATATACAATATATATTTCTATAACTCTGTCATCTGTGGCAATGACTACATTCTATAAAAGTGCATTACTAAATCTCTATGGTTTGAAGTCGGTCATAGTTGTTGTGGTCTTTTGCCAAGTTCGAAAAAATACACTATGGGTTATGTCGCCCCATAAGACCTAAAATTTACAATTTAACAAACATAGATACTTAAAAACTTTAATTACACTAAAACTATCTATATATTGAAATTATAATATAAGGTCAAAGTGTAGTCAATGGTGTGTCTCGTAGACGTAACGTTATTTATATTACACGTAAACAAAAATATCGTTTATCTCGCTTCAGTGGCTCCGAGCTGGACGACGGAACCACTCGACACCGCAGTGTTGCTAGGTGCTCCTCTGCACATCGAATGTTCCGCTAGAGGTCATCCTACGCCACGCGTCAACTGGTATAGAAAAATAGGTAATTCGAAATTTACATAATAACTATTTAAATAAAACTTAATGGTTTAAATTACGAAATGTTAACGATTTGTAACGTTAAAATAATTAGTAAAGTTTAACTAATACGTTTTTTGTTTCCGTTTAAATGATTCCTTTAAATGTCTACTACTCGCTTAACTACAGACCCATAAATAATAAGTATCAAACACATTTATTAGCCAACATTAAATTGTTTTTCCTTTTTCAGAATTGTTAAAGAAGGTCATATTATAACAATTTTATATACTTACTTATTTAGTATTCTTATCGTTTGATGAAAAACCAGAATGAGTTATCACCCACCTATTAAAATTTATTTGTATTCTGTTTTTTCTCGTAAACAAAAAAGAAAACAAATCTAAGTAAGTATTATAATATAAGTTTAATCATTTTTAGTTTTCCTTTTTAAAATTTTAACAAGTTTAAAGTCGAAAAAACCTACTTTACACTCACCCCTTATAACCTTTATTAGTAAAGCAGAATACCTAGCTAATTTCTAAATTTTGTCTCTAATGTTTTTAGAAGGCGCAAGCGACGTAGAAGGTTCAGAACGGTGGGAGCGCGCGAGTGAGGGAGCAGGACGGGCTACTCTTGAAGCACCCGTTGCGTCTCGCTCGCACCGAGCCCTCTACCGATGCGCAGCTGACAATGGCGTCGGGTCTTCACTCGTAAAAGACGTCAACGTCACCGTGCACGGTTAGACGACATTCGAATTTTGAAATCTAACTTCTCGCCAGACAGGGCCATCCTAATTATTAATAAAATTATTTAATATATAAATATTATTATTAGACGTATTATTATTTATTAATTTTATTTCTATAAACATACATTTACATTCTTTAATACATACTCACACACACACATTTTTGGCGGACTAATTTTCAGCATATAATCAAAAATGTCATCTTAAGTGTCAATCTTTTAACACGAGGGAGGAACGAGGGTGCTCCAACACAAGTTAGTCTGAAACTTACTGCAACAATAAAATTTGTAATTCTATTATTAAGAGACAGACAATGAGCATTTTATTATTGTATGATATATAATTTGTTTCAATACATCTACAATGCAGGCACTTCTGTATTCCTTTTTATGTTTCTGAATTTTGTCTTAATTCTAGTTATTTTTTGACTTTTCTGAACCGCGGAAATACCGCAGAATTGTTAAAATTTAAACTGGGCATTTTAAATGTTTATGCAACATGTAACATATTTTTTCTCTTGTCATATGGCAAATAAATAAAAACGGATTCATTCAGAAAAAAATCTTTAAATCATTTATTTATTTTCGTACATATTATAAAACATTTCCTACATATATAGATAAAACAGATCACTTTTTATACATTTTAGTAAACATCATAATGAATTAAATACCTTTGTAGGACCTAACTACCGATGTACACAGCGATGTCACTTCAATTATTATATTAGAAATATGATTTAAAATTATTTTTCTACAGAGCCGGCGAACTTTGGCACGTCGAGCGACGCGTCTCGCAACGTGTCCACCGTCCGCGGCGACAGTGCCTCGCTGAGTTGTCTCGCGCGCGGCGATCCTCCGTTAAGCGTACATTGGACCCACCGAGATACAAGACTTGATCTTGACAGTTACCGGTGCGTGTATGTAGATTAGAAGAATCAGGACCTTTTCCTGTTCCCAACATAATGGTGTAGACAAAATCCCAAAAACTCCACAAACTCCTTGGCTGGCTATTTGGGGTGACCGGGAGATGATCAGAGTCTCAAGAAAGCGTATCTTATAATTCCAAGCGGTCTAAATATAGCAAGGACCATGGAGAGGGCATTGCTTGCCAAACGGCAAAACATCCCGACCGGGTCTAAGATTTTTCTAATCAATTTATAATTTTTCTGAAACATGACCTAATGTTAGGTAACCGTGAAATTAAATTGCGTTTCAAGCATATCTTGCTTAGCCGTTATATGGCTGGGATATTTCTCCTACCATTAAGTGAACCCCGTGCATATATGTCCTCCCCTATCAAAGAAAAGTGTCGTACAGGAGACCTTATTCGTGCAGATGGAGGATATCAGAAGTGCGTACAGCAGACGGCGTACGCTCTACACTACAGCTGCGATCAGCGGATCGGGGTGACGCGGGCGAGTACAAGTGCCACGCGAGGAACCGCTTCGGCCGAAGCGAACTGCTGCTCTACTTGCGCGTGATCGAACCGCCTCCAACGCCAACTACCCTCCGTCTCGGTGCACTTGGTGCGACATGGGCTCGTGTACGATGGCGGGGTCAACTTGCGTCTGACACGCATTATAGTGCTGTAGCTTCTCCGTTGCATTCGTCTGCTGCTCTTCATTTCAACCTCACTGTGGATCAAGCTGCTGATAAGTGAGTATCTATTTTTTAAATCCATTGTTGTTTTAGCCCTCGTAACTATGTTACTACTGAATGTAATAATAGTTTCCTAAAAATAAAATGTACAGCAACCTGCTTTTCCTATAGTAAATTACTTTATTCGTTTGTAATTAGTAATGCATGGACTTTCGTAGTTATAACCAATAGAGAAAATGAACTTGTGTTTAGGTTTTGTTTGTTGAAATCGGAAAAAGTAACAGTCGTTCAAGCATTTTAATTTACTGTCTACTTTTTGAAGAACTTTAGTATTGCATTATTTTATGGCATTCTATAAATGACAAATCTATTTAGATCGAAAAATATTTTAATCGAGTTAGAGCAGTAGGACGGATCGCTGCGGCTCAACGGGGTCAACCACCCGTGTCGTATTTAAAAAAAAAATCCTAATAGATTTTTTATTTACTGTCTAAACATTTTTGTGTGTTATGCACAAACATTTTAGTTACAATTGGTAACCTTTCCTTTTTTCATTTTAATTAGTAGGATTGAAATATTAATTTATAATAATAAATATTATTATCGTAATAAAACTAATAAACTACTACTTCTAGCTTACTAGTTTTTAAACTAACTATTAAATAGGTATACATAAATGATGTACCATATTGTCTTTGGTCTTCGTTTTATAAGACTATTCTGTTTCAGAGCAGCGGCATTGGAGGAAGTAGGTTCCTTAAGCGCTCGTATCGACAATTTGCGGCCCGCGACTGCTTATTCTCTTCGGCTCACAGCCTCCAATGGCGTCGGGCGCTCACCCCAGTCTGAATCTCTCCTCTTCACCACGCTTGAAGAAGGTAAAAATTATAAAAAAGAAAAAGAAAATTTAACTAATATTCTAAATAAACTAAAACTGCTTATAACTAGAATTTAAGATTGTAAATAGTAATCATAACACATTAAAATAGTCCATTCATGTTAACCCCTGTTTTATTATTCTTACTGATCGTTGCTTATTAATATAGATTTCCTTTTAAATACGTCCTACTTAAAATTAAATTATTTTAATAATTGTAACTAAATATGTAATTTAAATTTTTTCTATAATCAGCAACTGGTCACCTGTTTCTTACCTGACATTCCTCACAGCAGTCGTCCTATAATCTGTACAACAAATCGTGATTTAAGATTACTATTATATACTTCTTATGTTTACTAAATAGTAAATGTTATTAACGTTAATGTATCTAACGATAAATCTAATATAGTTCCAGATGCCATTCCGAAAAACCTTCGCGTCAGAGCGACGGAAGGGGGCGATCTGCACGTCTCCTGGGCTGTACGTATCGAAAGATCTATTTGTTTGTTGAATTTCCGATTAAAATAACCAAGATGAACACATGTTATTGTGAATGGTGGCGCTATTTAAATTAAAATCGATTAAAAATTGAAAAATGAAATAGTTTTTAATTTCAAACATAATACAAGTGCGGAGAGGTGCAAGTATCAATCAGGTTGAAAAAAATCGACTACGCCGTGTAGGGCACGGTAGCCCCATTGGTTAGAGCAACAGCGCGAAACGCTGTAAATGCCGGTTCTACCCGTGTCCTAATTTTTTTTCAATTTATAATTGATTTTTAATTTTTAACCAAGACTGTTGGTGCAGGCTCCAGGACGAGAAGGTTGGAATGGAGAACTGCTGGGGTACGCGGTATATTGGCGGGAGGCGGATGGGGCGCGGAGCGGCAAAATTGTGTGGCGTGGATCCGGATCCACCGAGCTAACTTTGAGCGGGCTACGCGCAAGGACACGTCATTCGCTATACGTACGCGCCTTTAACCGCGCCGGCCCCGGACCTCCTTCGCGGACTCTGGAGGCGCTCACCATTGCACACGGTTCGTTCATACTGCCATTGAAATAATTTTTAGTTTGTAGATCGGTTTCAAATTCCCCCGCAACGTGGAAATTAGTATCAAATTTAGAAGCTGTGAATATTATAATCAAGATTTTAATTAGGTCGATATTTTTTATAGTGAAAAGTTGACTAAACTATTTATTTATTATACTTTTATTATTTATAACATACCACAAATCAAAAAGTATAAAGGGTTGCCTGGAAGAGATCGCTCTATAGCGATAAGGCCGCCCATTGCACTATATAACTGGTTAGAATAATGTATCTTAAAAATTGTATTATAAAGAATATTTTTAAGGAATCATGTATATATACTTTGTATTTGTTGCAATGAAGAATTAAATAAATTAAATAAAATAAATATAAATATAAAAATCAAAAAAATTCTTACGTACTACCCTATAAATAAGTAGTACAGGAATAGAAAAAGACATATTAAGTAGGTATAGGGAACAAAAAGTAACTAATAAAAACTAGATAGCTTTTACGATGTTTAATCGTAAAAGTTATCTAGTACTAAATTCTTTATACCTTTTTGATCATATTTCTTTTACGAGTATTGTGTTATAGATTCCTTATATTTCCGTCAAGTATGTATAAATAAATGAATTCGTTATTAAGTATTATATGACTGTTTATTATGTTTCCAAATATATATTTTTTTCGTGCAGCTATATCAGAGGCTCCGACGTCGGTGCGTTGTGAAGCAATGTCGGTGAGGGCGCTCCGCGTGCGCTGGGCGCCTCCGCCCGGTGAGGCCGATCTCGCTCACCATATTCTTGGATACGACATCTTTTATGCCCCAGTTGATCTCGCGTTGGGTGAGTGTTTATATGTAAGCAGACACTAGAGCATATATAAATTAATTTTAGGTTTGAAAACAAAATTCGACAGGGGCAGGCCTTGAACCGGTATCGACAGTGTTTCGTGCTATTGCTCTAACCACTGTGTCCTACACGTCATCGTCGATTTTTTTCTATGTATTAATACATACACCTCTCGCGCAATGTAATTTCAACATTAATTCTTGCGTATTAAGGTAGGTACAACGTCTTATGCCTTGCAGCTTAAAGTAATTATTGAAGATGACATTCCACAATTTAATATATGGAAACATTAATATCCTTCACATTAACTAAATATGATTTAATAAAATAATTCGACTGCTATCAGCAAACGGGGGTGCGGCGCGCAAAGTCTCGGTGTCAGCGACCACCGGTAATGAGGCGACGGTGTCTGGTCTAGTCGCTGGAACGAATTATTCAATAAGTGTGCGGGGACGGACAGCGACCGCCGCTGGTCCTCCTTCTATCGAGATATACTGCTCTACCAGAGAGGACGGTAAGGTACCTTTAATTTACGGTCTATTCGTTTTAAGCATCCAATACTACAACTTTTATTTTTCTTTAGTTCCGGGTGCGCCGGAGTACGTGCGTGCTGTGGGGGCATCAGCTCAGTCGGTACGCGTGTCTTGGTGTGCTCCACGAGCAGAGCTGCGTGGAGGTCGTCTTTCCCACTACACCCTATATACGAGGGAACTCGGAAAGTACGAACGTGTAAACAGTGTCAATACTATTTATAGCGTTTTTTTTCTTAGCAAAAGACCACAACAAATATGGCCGATTTCAAACCATAGAGAACTAGTGATGACCTTTTATAGAGCGAAGTTGCCACAGATGGTACGGGGATAAACATCTATTATATGTGGCTAAATAATCTCTAATTTTTTACGGCATAATTATTTCACTCGACGTTTGTAACGTTGGCATGTCCGTGAGTCATGAGTAGGACTTCTACCCTCCATTTTAGTTGACTTTGCTTATATTTCATTCCTATGTTAATGACAAATAAAGTCATTTTTATCTGTCCCTTTACGTAAATTGATTTTAAGGGCTAAGTGAATTCGAGAACTAATGAAACTAGTGTAACATATAATACAGTATCTTTAGTGTGAATCTATCTAAACCCTTGTAAGAAAAGCTCGATTTTATGTAAATTGTGTGTTTGTTTACCAAAAAATTAAATGTCAAAAAAAAATACTTTATATAAGTTACGTTCAGTCTTATATAAAAAGGTTCGTTGTTTGCAGGGTAGGCGGTGAATGGTCGCAGCGTGTTCCGGCTGGCGCCGACGAAGTGCAAGCATGGAGCGACGTGGGAGGCCTACGAGAGGGCGCCCTATACGAGTTTTGGGTGCGGGCCGCAACCGCACATGGTGCGGGGGCTCCCTCTCGCGCGGTCACTGCTGCGCCTCGGCATATACGTAACTAATCATATAAATATATACATATTATATGTCATAAAACTTAAATAAAACACTTCTCCATACGATGCAATCGTAATGTAATTTAAATATAAGAAAATCGTGGATGTGCATATTTGAAAATTAACGTTTGCTTTAATCTTAATATTTACCTACAACCTTACTCTTAGGGTCACAACTTTCTGTTCTTTCATTATTTATAATTTCTATAGCTGTATAGTGTTTCAATAAATTGAAAAAAAAAAATGTAAACATATTTTTTTCCTTACATTACGATTTAATTTCAAAGAGATCTCTACATACTATTATATTTTTTTTTTAATAAGTTTTATGGTTATTTTTAAGGCTTTATGTCAAGGTTAAGGTGTTCAATGAAATCGAGCGCTACACTGACCGTCTTTAAAGTAGTGGTTTATTGTGCTTTATTATTTCATATAACATTACGGCCCGTGCACACATTTATCTCTGTATTCACTTATTGAATAAATAAATAAGTGATTTCTTTTTTGCAGCGTCAGCTCGCATCACGTCGATCGGCACGGTGGCGGTGGTGGCTTTGGGCGCCCGCGTACGTCTCGCGTGTGCAGCCCTCGGTGGCCCCCCCTTGCACAGGCGCTGGACTCCGCTTCCGCCCCACCACACACTTACCGACACCGGGGACTTGATAGTTCACAGTGAGTCGCGTGTTTCTGATTTATTAATACTTGATGATATAAATTAAGACTTAACTACGAACAATAAACTTAATCAATTGCTTTTTTAAGTTATTTTTACTATATGCTAAATAAACTATTCATTACTAATTGACTTTGTACAATAACACTATTTGCTTGTCGTGTCTGCATATCTAGGTACTCGCTTAATTTTACGATTTTATGTGTTACACTATATAATCTATATAAGCCATGTCTCTAATAATTATAGATAGTTTTGCAGACCTTTTAATAAAAAAACCAAGAATAATGTTTGATCTAAGCAGAGATGGGGGAGCAATGGTCCCGTAACTACACTTGCTCGGTACGAAACACCGCCGGGGGCGATGCGGTGCAGCACGCGGTACGTTGCGTGCGCCCCCCACCCGCTCCATCACCGCGCCTCGCTCGCTCCACAACTCATCGTTTAGCTCTAGCATGGGATCCCCCACCCATTGGAGGCTCGCATGCTCCTGTGCTACGCTACACGGTACACTGGCGTGGTGAACAGGGGGAAAGAGGGGAAATCTCGACGGGTGCCGGTGAGGGCGAGGTGCGAGCTGAAGTGGGGGACCTGGCCTGTGGAGCGTCCTATGTGCTGTGGGTACAGGCGCATACCACGCTCGGTGTCACGCCGCCCTCTACCGAATTGCACTTACGAACAAGAGGAGATAGTGAGTCTTATCTGCTTCTAACTTAGTATAAAGAGTTAATACGGACAATAATGAAGCTTCAAATTGATTTATATAAAGTGTTAAACGCGCTATCCATAATTAACGCAAAAACACGTTTTAATAAAACACTTTGACGGATTATAATTTAATTGAATAAATTAGTTAAACTAATTAAAAAATTTTTTAACTAATACTTAAGCATTTTTATTTAACTACTTAAGCATCAAGTTTGAATAATACCAAACCCGTTCTATTTAAAAGCGTGTTTCATTTTTTATTGAATTTACAGTTACAGTGACAGGGTACTAAATATCACAAAAAAACTGTATTAAGGAAAATGTGTTCTCTTTGGCTATCTTAAGATGTTTTTCAGCATAAATTCTCATTTTCTTTTATATTTTGGTCCTTGAAGATCTTTGAACTGTTATTTATGTATGTACTGTTTAAGAGAGTGTGTTTGCGTAGAGGCAACGGCACCGCCAGCCAAAGAATGCATCTGGTCGAACAGCAGTTCTCTACGCGTCTCGTTGCTGGCGTGGGGGAGCCGCTGCCCAGTACTCAGCTGGCGGGCCTCCTACCGCCTCGCCCGTGCCGCTCGCTGGACGGACCTCGCTAGCGACGGCGAGGTCCTTCACATGACTGAATTGGAACCTGCTACATGGTACGAGATCCGTCTGCTCGCCCGTTCTTCCGCCGGCGAAACCTCCGCCCTCTATCGGGCTGCCACCAGAACGAACACGGGAGGTAATTTAGTTTAACTAAAATTATGTTATGTAAACGGTACGGTAGGGTTTTGCTGAAAATCAGTGTGTACTGTGTCAGCATAAGTTGCAGTATGCTGACATGAGACCTTTTTGGCATCACGTTTCTTCCAGCATTGTACTAAATTAATGCCAAATAAAAAGATTTATTATTATTTTTATTTACATTGTATCATCGATGACGTATATTTCAGAAGAAATAGGCGAACCGATAGATCTGCCGCTAGAAGACGCCGTTGATGCGGCAGAGAGTGCCGAGGGCGTTGCTGAAGGTGGAACGGGTCGACCATTCGCAGTGGCAGCGTTATGCGGAGGCGCACTGCTTTCGCTGCTGGTGGTAGGATTCGCGGCAGCGCTCGCTTGTGCTCATAGACGACGACGCTCGCCTCCGCTCCGCTGCACTCCAACGCATTTGCCCCATAATGGAAAGACGGCTGACCACTCAGACGGTATGTTTTCTGCTCAATTACCTTGTCTTCGATTCATTATGATACTGTTACAATTTATTTGAAATTTTTAAACATTGTTTATGATTTTTTTAACATCCAAGTATCAGTAAGTCGCTAGTATCAGATTTAAGTAAAAGAGTGAGATTGTTAAACAATCAGAATGAATAATATTTTTGAAATGATGTGATATCTATTAATTAAGTCAAAAGTAAATTACAGTCAATATTATTTTCTCCTATTTTATCGCTGAGTATCTAAACGACCGAATGTTATTTGAATTAATTTATCTTTCAAAGCGGACCATATGCATGAGATCAGCCCTTACGCTACGTTCAGCATGTCGTCGGGTGCGTGCGAACCGACTACAGGCGCGCGTTCTGAGTCCGGAGCGCGCTCGTGTGCTTTGCACTTGCGTTCGTTCGTTAGGTCGCCCGTCGGGCTCGCCGCGCCCCCTCCACGTCCCCACTTACTTGCACAGCCGAATGGTGATTATATTTATTATTACAGCTTTATTATTAAAGAAAATAATCTTACGTACTAACTTATAAATAAAAGCCGGCCTTAAGGCTAAGCAGGGATTTATTCGAAGCTACCTAAAATGCAGGAGAAAATAGATAAAAAGAGGCTGATTAAGTGGGTAGGAGTAAGGTATAAACAAGCTTTGGATGTCAAATACGAAAATGTTTTAAACTTCGCTGAACCTACTATAAAAAACATTATCATCATATAAAAAATACGTCTACCATCCTCCTATTTATATTTATGTGGTTGTCCTCCTGGAACCTATCGGAATGATATAAACAATATATAAGAAGTGTTCCGATTTTTCTTCTGATGGCAGAATATGGTAGCTGTAGCTTGCGCGAGAGTGACTCAGAATCGAGTGGTTCGCCTTGCGCCGCGTGCGCAGCCGAACTTTATCGCCTTCCAGCAGCTCATCTCTCCGGTAAGTCTACTTTAACTATCGTAAGTTATTTTTCGATGACAAAAAAAAGTGAAACCACGTCTCCCCCTTATAGGCATCGGCATAGTTGATCAGGCTTCTGTGCCCTGCCCGATCGAACAATCTATTGTTTCCCTTCAACCCAGGACCTCTTGCACTTAACGCTAAATATGACACCTAGCAGTAGCTAGGCGATACGTTTAATCATTTAGCTATAGTTGCGTTCTGCGTCTGCGATAAAACGAATAAAAACAACTTTTCTAAAAAATCTAATCAAAAATTCTGTATTCTTTCCGTCTACATGCAGATAGACAGTCCCCACATAGAGTAAGCCTGTCCCGTGGATGACTGGTCTCTTCCAGATTAAAAAATCTAATAAAAATAAACTTCTTGTCAACAGACACTTTACCAGCCGCTGAGTCAAGCACCGAAGACGGCTCGTACGGGTCTCGTCGAGTAAGAGGGAACAGACGCCCCACGCCAAAACCTAATATCAGGTAAGAGTGAAATATAAGGAGAGAAGTATCCTCTCGTTTCTTCTCATCTATTCTTATTATCTTCATTATGAAAGCGCAAAGTATTAATGAGTGAATGTTTTCTGTTCTCGAAGCGACCGATACTAAAGCGGTGAGAAGTGGTCCGGTACGAGTAGGCTCTTAGTTCGCTTACGCTACTAGGCTTAGGTCAAGCTATTGACTTTAGCGAGATAGAATCCGTCGCATGTTGTCCTAATTTTTATTACATCCGTAGTGTTAGCAATAGTGTAATAATCTTTAAAGTTTTATGTCTGTGCCCTTAAAATAACAATAATACAAAAGTTTGTTTATGTTATACGAATAACATAAACAAACGATAAAACTTTTGATGTCATTTTGTAAGACAATTTTCACGAACTATGTATATACTGTAAAGAAAGATTTATTTCCTAATAACCACAAATACAATAAAATACAACTGCACAAACATAACAACAAACCCGACTTGCCTGTAATAAAAGAAACGACATTAAAAGTTTATACCTAGAAATCATCAATCCCTTTATTTTTTATAATTTTTATAACCTCATGGTGTTAATGATCCGCATACACGCTGACACTCTATCTGTCAACTTCAAATCCGAACTATAGAACATGAAAAAACTACAGAAGTATGTTTTTTTACAGAGTTATAGCCAAAAGTCTCTCTTTTTCTGACACAAAATTTTAATAATTGGTGGAAAGCGAGTGTTATAAAATGTATAACTTTGATGAGCAACTTAATAATTTGTTTTTGATTTCTGTATCCAAGAAAAGGGTCAAAAGTAATTATTTTTTCAGGTACACCCCACCCCCTGGCCCTGCGGGACGAGCCGCCGGACACTAATTTTGTACATAACAACGATATCATATGCTAAGTGGTAGATAAGTCATATTTCAATGGTATAAAGTTGTATGTAATTTCAAATACTGTCTATATTAGACTAAGCCGTACCCTAGGACACCGATTACCAATAGTATTAAGTATTCCAATATGGGGCAAGGGATATGACGTATCTACCAAAGTATTGATATAATATTATTGTCTATTAAATAGTTATGTAAACGTTTTTTGCCTCTCGACTGAACCTATTTTATTAAATAAAAACGATGTTTTCAACTATTTCTTTTTATTACGCTACAGTGAATTAGTGTTCTCCAATAAAGCGGCGAAACTATTTCGTCTGCCGAAGTACAGCATAGAAAGTGTAGGATGACTTGAGAATCTGAAATTAAAGATAATTTACTTCGTAGACTTCAGCCTCCACCAGTAAAAAATACAAGCATGCATATATCTTATATATTTATCTAAAAATCGTTCTCTTAAATGCATGAGCATCTTAAGAGCATGTATTATTTTACCCAGTGTTTATTTTTAATCAAGAATGTAAATAATACACTTTAACGGTTTAATCGTGATATGTATTAGTAAAACTTAGTCAAAAAAACCGTTTTAACTACGGCCCGACGTTTCGCATGCTTTGCAGCAGCCGTGGTCACGGGGAGACAATTAGAGTCGTAGTTAAAATAATTTTTAACTAAGTTTAACTAATATATATTGCGTTTGAAACCGTTAAAGTGTTTTATTTAAATGTGGACTACTCGCGTACTACTACTTAACTACACACGGTAATCAGCAATTTATTGCTTTATTATTTTAAGTTATCTTTTGGTATCTAGTCAATGAATTTAACATGAACTTAATTGTTTTTGCGAATACGCAGACATGGCATTTTGAATATCATCCATACTTATACATTTTTTAAATTAAAACCTGCTTTATTCGGAATGAATTGATCTGATAGTGCGATATCGGGTGAAAGTGGTCGAGTAGCTGCAGTTTTAAAAGAAAGCAATAAGCATCTATTGCTAGTACCTTAAGGAATGTCTCCAAAGAGAGAGGTACCAGGCGGGCTGCTCGTGGCCGTAGGGGGCGACGGGCCCTTTCCATTACCAGCACCAACGACCTCCGGAATCGAGGCCCGCTGAATAGCCACTGCATCAGGTACACCGATTCCGCTATGTACGAACTCTATCAAATACAACATGTTATCATCACTCGCTTTCAATGCTTATTTTAAACTAGCTGTGCCAGCGACGTCATCCGCGAAAATCATTATTTTGGGCATCCAAATTAGTTTTTGTAAGCCCCGTCATCTTTATAAACTTAAGTTGTTAGCTACCTTGTTGATCGCATCCATTCCCGTGGTTCTTGCAAGTTAATCTTTAAAGATTATAGAATCTTAAAAGATATAGCGTCGCAGACTTTTTGTTAGATCATTTAAAGAGGAATCATTATTTTATACAAATTGATTAAGTATCTTGAACCGATTTTGCAACGTACACACACATCTAAAACCCACAGAGATGAAAAATTTCCCCCGTTTTGTTCACATTTCCCGCTGTATCTTCACTTCTATTAGTCACAGGGCGATGTTTTATACCCTATAGCCTTCCTCGATAAATGTTTTAACCAATACAAACATACTTTTTCAATTCGAACCCGTAGTTCATGATATTAGCGCGTTCAAACAAGCAAACAAACTCTTCAGCTTTATATATAAGTATAGATAGATTGTCTCGTTTACCTCGACAGACAGTTCTGTGCCAAAGTAGCAGTACAAGAACAGCTCCGTCAAAATGCAGAAGATGAAGAGCGTCATCGATGCGAACTCAATACTCAGTACACTTAGCTGTCAAAGATTATTTAGTTAAGATATTTAAACTATAATATGTTGTGTGATATAACATCAGGCCATTCGGCCAGTTTTGTTTGGTGTTTGCAAAATTAATATCAATATTTTTATAGCTGTCTTAACACAGCTGTACAAAAGAATTTATAACTAATAATGCAATTTCGACCAAATTTGATAACCATAAAAACGGCGGATTTGATTACCATAAGAACGGCGGCGAAAAAACTCTTGCGAATTAATCTTAAAAGATAGAGATATACTGTCGCGGACATTTATTTAGATCGTTTAAAGAGGTATCATTTTATTTTTTCCTTCCGTTTCTTAAACCGAAGCTTTTCCCAGTGAAGGCAACGGAAGACCATGGAAAATGAATGATTTTGACGGTTTTTTTTTGGATTTGAAATTATCGCGTTTAACCACAGAAATAACACACTCTTCAGCTATATAAGATAGACCTTTTATAATAGGATGTATCAGTACGATTAAAAGCACCGACTATAGGTCGCGGCACGGATCGTCGCATCTTTACAATCGCGCACTTAATTGATTGGGAAATGTGACAATACTCGAGAAGCAAGTGGAGCATCGTATTGGCCCGAGAAAGACATTACGACTGGAGAACCAATCAACGCTAGCGCACATGACGTTCACTCGTCCCCTCGATAACATTTTTGACTTCTGCAAATCTGCAATTTGTTCGCTAAAGATCGGTGCCGCTACTTATGCATGATCTAAAATATCAACACAAAAATGTCTTAATCCCAGTTAGGAAGAAAAAATTCAATTAATAATATCTATATAGGAAAGTGACAACAAGGACGTGCAAAACGTATGCAGTTTTTACAGAGATAAACTATGTAATAATATTCATGACAGAGTAAAAACATTAATGGTTATTAATTTAAAAAAAATTGTCACAATGCTTCGTTATTAGTGAATATAAGACTCACGCTGACTATCTTGTATGCTGCCATGCAAAGAATCCACCCGCCGATGCCAAATTGAACCAAGATTGCGCCTCCAAATATGTTTTGCAACGACTCCGCGACACTGCATAATATGTAATCGGTAATTAGAATCTGAATTTTTCAATAAGGCTACTATCATAAGAAAATAAAGTTATTATAAGCAAAGCAAGTTTTTATATGGTTAATTAGAAGGTAGCTTGAAAAATTGTGACTGCATATCGCGGCCATTTTCGACATTCCTTCCCATGATATTATCGTGATGATGTAACTTGATGTACTATCCCTCTACACAGGACCCAGATAGTTTTAAAACTACGATGGAACAGATGTTTTTACTTTGATATTAGGGGCACCCCCCATCTTTATCTTTCTATTCTCAGCTTTTCCCCGTGACCGCGACTGTCGCATAACATCCGAACCGTCGGGCCGTATAAAATAATTAAGGTAAACTAAAACATTTCGCGTTTTAAACCGTTTTTAATAAAATATGTATACTACTCGCGTTAAGAACAGATAGTATTTAAGATTATATTCCCAGCATAAAGAAATTACCATGTAATATGTCGATAATGGTGAAGACTGTGGACAAGGAGCCTATCGAGTGTAGCTTCGAATTTCTTTCCTGTGCTTTGGCTCACCTTCCACGCCCTTTCCGGTAAGCTCTCCAAATTCATTCTGAAGACAGACACAACCGAGCTTAGCTTAGTCATAAAATATGACTGAGCTAAGCTCGATTTCGATGTTGGCCATAATATTTATATATCATCGATATATCGTCAGAACCATTTTTTTTGGATTACTTAAAACGGTAGAATTCTTTTATACCTACATCATTTTTTTAAGTAAGCACTTTGAACCGTTTTCGCAGCGCACAGAACGGAATCTAACTTCCCCGTTTATCCACATTTTCCTTACTTTTTGCTCCTATTAGTCACAGCCTTCCCCGATAAATGGTCCAACACTATATTATTTCTATTCGAACAGTAGTTCCTGAGATTATCGCGTTCAAACAAACTCTTCAGAGATGTAATATTAGTATAGATGTGACATTATCATTTATGGCTTTTTATTAATCGAACCTGAGCACTTTAATCTGCGTCTGACATAAATAGAGAACGGTTGCCATGAACGCGTCTGCCGTCGTGTTAGCGATGCCCACGAGCGTCGTCACATAATACGAGTAGAGCAACACTGGGCCGAAAAAGTACGCCGGTTCCGTGGACACAGGTGACCAGAAGGGGAACTCGACGGGGTGCCCATGAGCGCGGTCCAGCAGAGCAAACGCGAACCATAGAATGCATGTGACCACGGCGCAACCCGCGTAGGCTGCCTCCACACGCCACGCGCGCGTCTTGCACGCTTCCACTAGCCGCGCAGCTTGCGGGCTTTCCACTTTAAATGCTGGGTCTAAAGCAACAGAAAGAAAAGAGTAAATAAAGCATTTAACACTAGCCTAATTTATGCGAATTATGTGTAAAATTGTCGTCCCTTCTACATTCTACTTTTCTTTGTACGTATTTTGTAGATATACTACCCAAGGTACGTGCTCATGAGTATATACACATAATAGTAAAGCCTAAAATATGTAAACTGAAGCCTTATTAAATAAATAAATAAACAAGTAAATTTTTGTACTAAAGTATTCTTGCTTGTCAGAAGAGTACATTTCATTCGTTTATACTTTTATTCGTTATTTATTTAATAACCGACGCATCTGGAAATTTGACATTTTTTTTATGATAGAGGAGTACAGACAAGCATGGCGTTCACTTATTTGTAGTTGAAATACCCCAGCTATAGAATATCTAAGCCATGTATATTTTGGCTTTGGATATCTGGAAATCCAAACACTGAAACCGAAACGCGATTAAACTTGACAGCTGTTTCATCTGGTGATGGTGATTCGTGACGAAGTCCAACATGTTTCAGAATAAGTATAAATAAATTAGAAGAATGTTATACCCGGTGGAGATTAAACCCACGAACCGTTGATTCCGTCCGACAAGAATTTACCGTCTATCGCCCCAATCAGGGCATCAACTTCATCGGCTTCCAGGTGAAACACGATCTGCTTGGCGAGCGAAGTCACATGGCACAAAAGTAGGAACATGACACGCGACAGCTTGTTCATGTCGCCGCGTACAACGTAAGCGTACACGCACTCCTGGACCAAGTATAGCGTCGTAAAGGCAAGAACGCATAAGCGATACGCGGTATGCCCATGCGCATGACAGCGAAGAAACCCCACGGCGCGGAGGACTCGAACGTGGACCTCGACGCATTCGCCTGCACTGATGGCTCTAAAATGGTGAATTGTAACAAAAATTGCAATTTTTTTTGTTTTTTCCACTTGTAATTTCTATTATTCTGTATTTTTTAAATCTACCTACATTTTGTTGCGACTCATAATGATATGTATAATGAGGCAACTCGTAGAAATGTAGATGGAATATAATAATGTAAAATGGGAAGGTTTATGTCAATCCGGCGATATTTCTGATTTAGTTAAAGACATAATGAAGGGTTTCTTCCTTGGACACGCCCCCTGTAATTACACAAGTAATTCAAAGAAACCGTTAATTAACTTATTATCATAGCGGTTCATGGCAATATTCTACTAGTATTTTTCACCAAGAAGAGGAAAGACGTTGATTTCTTACATTTATTCACAAATACTTTATTCATAATTTCAAAAATCAAAAACATTACACAGACAGAAACAACGCCATCTAGTTAAAATATTTAATTTTTGAAAAATTAAATACAGATTATTTTCAAACTCGTTCATTTTTTATGGTTTCAAACTTAGACTTGAAGATCTGTGATTCAGCTATAGCAATACTGTTTATACATAAATACATTTCTGAAAATGAATTAAAGCGCTATCTTTGTATTAGAATAGCGCATAGGTGGCGCTTGTGTTAATAAGATCCTTTGCGTATCAACAAAATATGAAAGATAGCGCTAGTGTCAATATTTTCTAGCAAATGATTTTAATTAAAAACCATTAAAATGGAAATAACCGAAGTTTTTACTATGTTACCTATAACCAAATTTTTCATGTGTTTTAATTACTTGGGCGCATAAAAATAAGTACATATATAATAATATTAATGGACGATGAAATAAAAGCTACAACAGTTTATATGAAAGAATAAGAACTAGATTACCCTGCAAGTATCTACTAATACTATAATTGCATGAAGTCGAACAGGACACGGTTGCTACTGTTAGTCGTTTTTAATTCTTAATCAATAAACTTTAATCTAAGAATGCTTATTCAATTGTGTGTCAGGATAATAACATAATAGATAACATAAGCTCGTCTTTTGTGTAAAAGTTTCGTTTAATAGTAATATATTAAGTTCGTAAATTTCGGTGTTTTCTATAATTTAAATTTCCTTCGTAGTACTGTACAAGTTACAGAATAGTTGTACACTATGTAGTTATTCAATTTCGTTCACGGGTGATCCTTTCCAGCATCTTTTTCGTAGCAATAGGATTGTCCAACAACGTCTAAAATACAACAAAAAAATGTATTAAGGTCATGCATAAATACGATGGTAAAAAGTCATATAGGTATACAAATGATTGAAATTCGTATGTACTACGCAACAGATGGCGCTATCGTAGCAGTTTATCGTTTGACATTAGGGACATCCTCCATCTTTAGTGACCTTGTGACCACAGCTTGCTGCAAAGCATCCAAAACGTCGGGTCATAGTTAAAATAATTTGTAAATAAGTTGAACTAAAACATTTCGCGTTTTAAACCGTTTAGTGTTTATTCTTGATTGGTTGAATAATAAAAAATATTATTCAACTAATCAAGGAATGTAATTTAGGCGCCCGAGCAATAAAATTTTAGATACAGTGCAAATTTAATGTTTGCTCGGGTATGTTTTGTGCGTTTTCAAATTTTCTATCGCGATAATAAGAAGAGCTGATTTACCGATTGTCCAGCAACATTGATCCAATAGAAATTGAGTTGACTGGTTTCACGGAAGTAACCTTCGATTAGATTATTTATTATTAAAGTCTGTCGGAAGCTGCCAGTGAAATTTGCTTTTCCTGGCCAATTTAAATTATCAACCCATTCGAGTTGCCCTAAAAAAATAACACATACGTATTACATTATAATAAGATCCACTAGTGCTGTTAGATCTACAGTATAATATATAAACAAACTTTGATTCTTTTAAAGTTAAAGCAAATAAAGATACTAAAATCTTACCAGGTGTGTTTGACACGGCATCTAAATTTCCATTGAAAATTGTGACAGTAACATTTGTTGAGTTCAAAATTGTTTCCACTAGAAAGGCAATATAACATAAAAAATTGGTAGCTGCTAACACCAGAGCACGATACAACTAAAACAACAATATCTGACCTTTATCTGCAATACTTGTCATATAAATTGGCCTAAATGCTCTAACAGTGGCGTTACGGTCGTTGTCGTAATTAACATTCCTTGATATTCCAAGAGCTGGGGCTATAACACCTTCCATAAAACTCTTCATGGTTATATTAGCTGGTACCACTCTCTCATAATATAAGCTTTGACCGAAGTAATCTGTAAAATTGCACATCTATCAAATGACGTCAATTTCGGTCAAGTTTAGTAAAACACGATTGCTGGGTACCTCTTTCAGATTCTGGAGTTAATTTCTCAACAATCCGTCCTATATTTGCGGCAAACGCGCCAGCTTGGTCATTCACGAAGTCACCCAAAGTGATAAATTTGTCAAATGCTTCTTCCAATTTATCTTCAGAAAGAAGCGTATTGACCGAAGCTGAAAAGTCTTCAACGGCGGCTCTGCCGGTTCCATCGATCATAGCTAGTTCCTCTAAATAGAACCCAAGCTTTGTCAAAGCGAGACCCGGGGCTATTACAGGATTTCCGAGGAAAATACCTTTGAATTGGCTTGAAAATTCGTCATCCTGTAATTTACAAAAATGAAGTCGGCTTAGTTTTCTTATATTTCCTTTTAGATAATAAGTCAAACAGCATCCGAACCCGGGATCCGCATTTAGCGGTAAGGATATTTCTTCTTTGGTAGAGTTCGAATAGGATACAGAAAAAGTTGTAGTAGATATCACACACCTTCGTAAAGACAAAATATATTTATCACTTACTTCAGCTAAACGAATTGCTAAAGAAATTGCCAAGTGCGCCCCATCACCTTGTTCATAGATAAACAGCGGTGCGTTTCTATATTCTTCATTATTGTTGTAAAAAGCTTCGAGTGTTTGTACTAGGTTTTTGACTAAAAATAACATAAAAATAAATATAGAAAATAATATAGACGTATATAAACTAAGAAAAAAAAATCGTTCGCTTTTTTTTACCACGGACCCAAAGAATTTATGGACGTGTATCATGAGTTACATTTATAAAATTCAAAATACCTAAATCATCTAAATTGACTGGAATCGGTAGACTCTTCTCTGATTTACTGAATCCTGTGCCGAATATACCATCTACAAACAATAGATTGTATGAAGTAACCTAAAATATTAAAAGCATTATGTAACTGTGTTCAAAATATCTTTGACTTGGCTTTAAATTTATTTAGATGACATACCAAAGAATCTTCCCTTTCATTAAGGTTGAAATCTAAAGGACCAATGTTTCCGAAATTAAGGAGAAAAGTGTGCGGTAGCCCCGTTACGCCGCCCAAAAATAATATTATAGGTTTGTTCGTGCCCGATGATGAAGGGAAGAACCACCAGAAAATTTCACCAAGTCCCGAAAATCTTGTAAACGCCGCCGTATACGTGGTGTTGCCGAAGCCATCTCTTTCAAGTACTAAGGAGAAAGCCGTGAAAATTTTACAATTCATTCGTTTTTTATTATTGATGACTATTGATAATGATTTTCACTTACTGATAGTTTCTACTTCATTTGAATATCTTCCTGCTACTAACCACCAAATAAGCACTCCAAGTCCTGCCAAAACTACTATTCCTAATATAGTAGATAATATAATTACTACAATTTTCTTACACATTGCATATATTTAATTCTGCCGACTGTTGTAAAAAGCCCAATATAGAATGTGTATCTAGTTATCTGTTAAATTTATAATCACTTATCAAAATCGGTACGGTTTATGTTATATATTATGGATTCTTTATCAAAGATAATTATAATTCATTTGATCATATCAGATAATTACGAACGTGCTACTTAATTGATAATTAAAAATTATGTAATATACAAAGATAAGAACATACAAATCTTTTGGACACAGTCTAAGCATAAAAAAGAAGTAGCAGTAGCAGCTGATTAAAAAAAAAACTGTTTACTGATATTACTAAGAATAATTACGTAATACAAATGATAACTCACGGCGAGTTAATTTTATTCTTTTAAAATACTGATATTTCCTCTAAATTTCCTGATAGTGTTGTTTTAATCAATTCTGTATCAATTTCATTATCTGTAATGATTAATTATGTAGTAAGTTTATTTCTTCACGTTTCTTTTTATACAGCACATTTCGATACATTTCTAGATAGATTTTTTCAACAGGCTACATACTTATAATATTTTTTTATTACGATGTAACCAGAATCCCTCGTGTTTACTGCAATGCTAATAGAGTTTTACTAGTGATCCAAAAAGGCATTAGAGATTTTAATTAATACACTAATAGCGTAAACACATGTAAAGTACTCGGGAGAGAAAATTAGGATACAATAAAAATTACAACTTTTCTAGTTTATTGGTAAATTTTTGTAGAGAGGGGAAATCTTATCCAAAAGACGTCATATCTCTCAAAAAGGCATTCGTTCCAGCCGGGTTATCTCTTGGAACCTGGAAAATAACAGCGCTATTAAAGAAAGCAATTACTTATTCGATGTACTTTCAGTAAATGTATGCAATATGGAAGAGGTCTCTCGGAGTAGCATCGTAAAGGGCAGAAAAAAGTTTTGTTAATATTTATTTCTCATTTTTTGTATATAAGAGACAGTCTGTAATCTTAGGGGATCAATTGTAAAAAAAATAAAAAAATTTCAAAAACGTCATTGATCCTTCGACAGCCGCCCGACTAGTCATGGTGCGTATCAAGAAGATTATTATAATCTACGTTTTGTTTGCTAATATAAATTTACTCACGCGAAAGATTCTAAGTTTTTGTTAATCGTCCCTATAACATTACATTAATTTATTATCTATTACATCTGGGAATGAGAAGCATAATTTTTTTTTATCAGTTTCTATATATTTTCTTAATTGTTTAACATACAGACAAACTATTATATTAATCTACTGCTTTATTGTAGGTTATAATTAATACATACACTGTGTCCAGCCTTGTTGATCCAAAAGAATCTAAAGTTGCCATGCGTCTTGTAATATCCTTCAAGTTGATTATTTTCCCAAATGGCTAGACGGCTCGCGTTCTTAAAACTTTCCGCTCCAGCCCATTTCAGACGATCGACCCATAATATTTGACCTTGGACATTACAAAGAAATCATGTAAGCTAATTATAGTACTGAATTAAATTAAAGTAAATGAATCTTTCTTTAAGTCACAGAAATAGTCGTATACAAAAACTCCAGCGTTATTTTTTTATATGTTCTTATACTTATATCATTTTTAATATTGTCAACTTGTAAAAATGTGATGTTATTCTTGACCAGGATTAGAGAATTTCATTTTACTCCAGTGTGTATTTATAATTATAATTATAACATACCTATATAATAATAGAAGGAAAATATATCGTATATTACACATCAAAAGCAAGTAAAACTTACCAGGAGTATCACAAATGAGGTCGAGGTTTCCGTTATATTTTGTCAAAATTATATCCGTATCGTTCAACAGCTTCTCGACTGAAAAGTTTTGTACCTAATTACATATTCTACAAAAAACTAAATATATGTAGAGTTAGTTATAATTTCCTGTTCCTCGCACAATCAGATAAATCCTGTGACATCTGAGCGCACCTAATTCTAATATTGCCGATAAAATGGAAATATAATAAACTTAGCAATTTTTTCTTTATTAATATCTTTCAGATTTTGACGGGCGGAATTCGGGCTTGATAGACTTATTGCCTTCCATAGGCGGACAGCCTGTATAGAAACGGAAGTGTAATTTAGATGAATGGGCATACAAACTTGTAGCAGTGGTACATTATACTTACTCCCATCTGTAACCGGCTTCATAAAATCAGTGCTTAAAGTCTCAAAAACGGCACTGCTCTGTGAGCCCCAGGTTACATTTGCGGGTATGCGAAGGGCTTCTTTTACTTCATTGTTCATTAAACTATTGAGATCTCGTTCCTGTCTTTCATCCGGTGTATAGTGTGACGCGTCTCTTAGGTTTAGTTCCATCAAGAATTCTACAGTGTGAAGATGAAGTTGAGATGCGTAATCATTTGAATATGTAACATTAACTTTTAAATTGTAGACCGCCTCTGGCAGGGTACAGAAGTCTGATCAATTACTTGTCTGTTTATTTATTTACAGAAATCCTTACAGCTAAAAGTATTTTTTTCTTAGACTTAGGCAATTAATTACGCCAATTACAAGGATTTACAAATAATAAATTAACCCAAGTGGTTCTATATTATAGGTGCATAAAACAAGAACTGAATTGACGTATCCAGGGGATGGGGGTGTGTTTTTGTATGTATGTATAAGAATAAGTGAATGTGAGTATTTTACTGTTTTTAAAGGTGCTAATTAGGGCTTTTGTAAGGAAATTTTTTTTGTGTAAATATCTTTTTTTGTGTAATAAGAATGTTTTAAGTAAGAAGTGGAAGTGCACGAAACGTAAAAAAGATTTATATGTCTAGTGCTAAGGCTTGGTTAAAGAACAAATCAGTGAAACGGACACAAAAATGTATTCGCCCTATGCCCCACGAGGGGAAAACGTTTCCCACTTTTTTTTTATTACATTGCATGGATACTGACGACGACAAAGATTATAATCTAAACTGCACGAATTAACTACACTATAAATGTTTGCTTTTAATGTAAAGCTGCGTAAATTAATAAAAAAAAAACAAAATCTTTAAAGGAAAAGTAAATTTATAATCTTATTTAGCTGCTTATTGTACCCGCTATATGCAGCCAAATAAGATTAACAATGAATATTATTTTTATTCTGTTACTTATATGGTCTGTCATATCAAGACAATTGTGATTGCTTTCCTTAAATAGTTACCTTCAATATTTCTTGGAGTGTTCGGTCCCGCAGGCATTTTCGTGAGAATATTGTAAAAGTCCACGCTAGTGGTGGCTAAAAACACAGCTCTTTGAGTTAGCCTCCACTGTTGCGTAGATTGATAATACTGCCCAGCATTAAAGAGTCTTTCTGCTTCCCTCGCGGCTCGCTGAATGTTGTCATAGCCAGTTTTGTCTACCAAGCCAGCGGCCAACAGCAACGGACCCCAAGTCAGGGTAGCGTCTACGGGTGAGATCCAGGCGTTTCCCATAGCAACACCTCGAAGGTTAGATTTTATGGTGCCCGCTACTTCAGCCTTAAGAAAATTTACAACCATGTAAGAGATTCGTTTTCCATTCTACAATAGTTGCAAGTTACATAACTTTTTGAGCGAATGAAGCACAAAAAGTCCCGAGTTTAAATTGCAGATTACAATTAACGATAAATAGTTTTGCTTGGTACAAACGTCTAATCAACTATTTGCCCGTAACTAGTGTTCTAAAATATCGAAATTCCGTCCGGATCGCGAACCGCCAAGTGTATTACCTCGCGCATGCGTATAGCCATGTCTATCGCCATTTTCCCTCCATACGACTGTCCGTATATGTACAATGGTACTGTTTCGAATTCGGAATTCTTCTCGTAAAACCCTCGCATGAGTTGAACGAAGTCTATCGCTGAAAATAATCACGTATTAGATATTTCTTGTTTATTTTATTAATAAGAATACGGGTTAAAGCTAGAACTTTAAAACTTATCAAATACTAGATCAAATCATCTTTATTCTTTTAAATAAAACATTTTAACGGTTTAAGACGCGATATATTAGTTAAACTTATTTGAAAATGATGTTTAGCTTCGGCCCGACGTTTCAGATGCGGATGCGTGTGCCGTGTCACGGGAGCAGTCCCCGTGACCACGGCACGGCATTTAAATGTGTACTACTCGCGTAAACTATAGACAGTATATTTATTCTTGTTTAATATTTGACAAAAACCCAACGTATTTTTGCGTTCAGGAAGTGTAACGGTAGATCCTATTAATAAAACTAATTTCAACCTACTACGAAATTACAATGCGCGAATGGTGCATGTATCGTATGTATGTAAAAAATGGACACGGATAGGACACAGCAGCTCAGTTGGTAAGAGGAACAGCACGGAACGCTGTGGATCGGCATCCAAGTCAAGTTCTGCCCGTGTCGTAAAATTGTTCTAAAATCGATTTCAACTAGTTACCTATCTCATCGTTTGTTTTTGTCAGAAATTCCAAGTTATCCACATAACTGTATCCCGTGCCAACTGGGTTGTCTACGAAGAGAACGTTAAAGTTGTTAACCTAAAAATGAATGAAATTATGTTAATGTCATCATTTTAATTACAGTGTATTGCATGTTAAAATAGCTTTAATCTTTTAAATAAAACACTTTAACGGTTTAAAACGCGATATATTAGTTAAACTAGCCGTGATCATAGCCGTGATAGCCGTGATCGTAATCTCCCCGTGACCACGGGTGCCGCAAAGCATCCGAAACGTCGGGCCATAGTAAAAAATCATTTTCAAATAAGTTTAACTAATATATCGTGTTTTAAACCATTAAAGTGTTTTATTTAAATGTGTACTACTCGCGTAAACTATAGATAGCTTAAATCGTTAGTCTAATGGTAGACATGGTATGGTCCATTAATTGCTAACAACATTTGATCCCCACCGGGTCTAACAGGTGTCTTTTCAATTAATGATTTTCTGTAACATATTGGACTTGATTTGGTTAGGATATTGAAGGAGTATCCAATATTCAGTCTGTGGATTTCCGAATATCCAAAGCTTAATAGGTCTACTTTAGACGTTATCTGATTGTTTCACCTTTCATCAAGTGACAATACTCGTACCTACTCACGACTCTGCGAAATATTTTTGTTTTTAATTGTATACACCTTTCATATCAATGTTAATATGAGTCAAGTCCTTGCTAATTAAAACATACCCATGTATAGTTTCTTTCTTGGAGAGATAGATCAAGTGGACCCAGTATCTCAAAATTACCAACACCCGTTGAAGAGCCTCCAGGTCCACCTTGGAGCCAAACGATCAAAGGCCTCTCCGTATAATTCCCAACCTCAGCTGTCGTGTAGAACAACCAATAAAACATGTGGGCGCCTTCACGAACGTTTACATAATCGAAGTCTTGTTTGAAATCACCGAACTGAGCTATAAATAATTATCAATAAACGTATATAGCTTAAATGCGAATTGAACTCTGACAAAAAAATTCTATAATTAAGTATAAATTTCACTGTAACGATTAATTTTATATATTTATAAATTACCTTGGACATGTTGAGATGATAATATTGAAAGAAATAGCACGTATAATAACATTTTAAATCGGTCTAATGCGATAGACTGTACTCACTAATAATTATTACAATTAATCATGAACATGATATGTTAGCTTATCTTATCTTTGGCTTGGATATTGCTTGATTTGAGTAGAAGAAACTAATATACATTAAAAATGCAGCAAGCACAAGGTTTCGGAAAAATATTTTAAAAATAAAACAAATTTAATATTGGATTAACTCTCACATAAATTAAAATTTAGTTTATTTACCTTTATTTAATGTTAAGATGTTAACATTGATATAAACATCACGTATAATCTTAGAACAGTGTTATTTTATGGTCCTTTTATTTATTTTTAAATTACCAACTTTGTATCATCGATGGCTGACAAATATCTCTTGGCTTACCTGAGAACACTTAATTGCAAATTAAATACTCCAGTCCTGTAATTTAGACAAATATAAATTATGAAGCCGAGAAGGATTGCAAGAATATATAATATGATGCCTAATGTAACTATGCCACGCGGATGAAGTCGCGAACACAGCTATTTAATAATATATGTATGTACGTCATAATCACAATTAATTAAATATCTTTACTTCCTCTATGCTATCCTGAAGATCTCTAGTGAACACTATGTTGTTTACAAATAACGACTTCGTGTTTATAATGAGGAAATACGCTAAATACTAAGCATAGAGTTGCATTGTGGTTGTAATTAATTTCACGTGGTACGAAGGGCGACCCACCAAGTCACCTGACTATACTATTGGCACAGTGTGTTTGAATAAACTTTTAACGAATCGTGACGTTTGTTTACTTTTGAACACATTTTTGAGAATCATTCGAATTCGCGAGACGATGTTCTTGAATTTTTTTTAAGTTTTTAAATATTGTGTACACTTCAGAATATACAAATATATAAAATTTAAAGAGTTTGAACGCACAAAGACTCTCAAGAACTACTGGTTCGACTTAAAAGCAATCTTTTTCTGGTGGTTAAAGCTTTAATTTATAAGGAAGGCTTTTGTCTATAAAACATCACGATGCGCCCAAAATGAAGAAGGGAAAGGAAAAATTCACTATAAGGATCTCCGTAGCGTGTGCTGTGAATAAGGTTCAAGATGACCAAAAAATGAATAAAGAACGATTCCTCTTTGAATTATCTACAAAAATTACCGCGACACTATATGTATGTTTATCTTTTAAGCAATGCGCGCAGTGGCATATTGTCACTCTAATCATCGGTCATACGTAATAATCATTCGTGAAGACGATATTGATAATGAAGGTCTAGTAGAAGAAGGGGAAAAGGGTCCAGCTCTTTATAATAAAAAAATGAAAGAGTATTCAGATATTCACGAGGAAATTAAAGCATGGGGAGAAATTAGTAGAACAATATTTTCCAATGCTTGGGGTAACTTGTCGCTCTACGAAAACCGTTTTAACTTAAGACACTGTAATCTATAGCATTCTCTTTTAATTATTATTATTCAAAATAAATATTGAAAATCGTAATTATTTATAATAATATAATAGTAACATATTATTATAAATAAGAATTATTTATTTGTAAACTACTTTGCCCACTTCTTCCTGACAGTTGTCCCGTCTATTATTAGTTAAAATACTATAACACTCAGAGCCCTAATATAGGTCTATAGGTCGCTACTCATTCTCTATAAAACATTAACGATCTTTTCCTTCAATAAAATCAATTCCTCTTGGAAAGTGACAAACATATATAGAAATTTTTATGTTTTTTAAAAAAAGTATTTTTATAAAAAAATTCTTAAGAGGTTCAAATCTATGATATTTTCCTCCCAAACTCTCCTCTTCCTCTTTCCATTTAAGAGCACCAAAATTATCTTTTTCATCCTTCTATTTTTTAAGTTTGGCTTTCGTAATCAAGAGTTTCATCTCAAATGTTTTATCGAATTTGATCTGATTTGGGTTTAAAGTAACATTTATTTTTGAGTCAGATTGAGATTTCGGGTTTCAGTGATATCAGATTCAGTCTTGGATTCTGGTTTCAGAGCTCTTTAGCTGCCTCACTCTTTTACTTCGCAGTTCGGCTTAAAGTTCTTAAGTCTCTACTTTCATATTTCGAGTTTTCAAGCTTCAGAAATTAACTTCCTTCGCGATAATTTTAGTTTTTTTCTATACTTCCAAAATAATAGTTTTTTTTGATTGTACTTTAATAATCCTTCCTATTTATTAACTATCTTATAGTATTGATTAAATGAATTTTTTTTATTAATCCTACACTCTTAGTTTAATAAAAGTAGACCATACGTTTTTATCAAATCTATCTTATTGCAAAACCAGTGACTCAGGATAGCCACTTCTTCCCACCCACCTACCCGCTCCCCCACGCCTGTTCGCCTGGCACGTCGGTATTTATCGCCGAAATTCTATCTGTATTTTAATTATATCTTGAAAATTTTTTATTTTCTTAGTATTGATTTATAAATAATTTTTTATTGATAAGTTATATTATTCTTAAAATTTCTAAATAACTTTTTTTTAAAGTAGGATAAAAAATGGTATTGTGGTTTTCTAAAGATATTTAGAACTTTTAAGTTGTAAATACTTAGTAATTGTTGATTATTTTAGGATTCAGTCACTTTGCAATGTAAGCAAAAAATGTGTTTTTTTAGACGACATTAAAAACCTCAAAAATTGTAGCTTATGTTATTTGATGTTAAGTTATTGTGGTAAAGTTTCATTCAAATCCATTCAGTAGTTTTTACGTGAAAGAGTAACAAAATCATAATCCATACATCCATACATCCATACATCCATACATCCATACATCCATACTTACAAACTTTCGCCTTTATAATAGTAGTAGGATTCATATTTTCATATATTCAGGTCTTAAAGTGCGTAATAATTCATCAAAGCGCTCATTCGGAAATATCTAAAAAAATCCTTAGGATGTTCTCGAAGTTTATAATACATAGTGTAGAACTTTCCACGTAGAAGCCTGTCACTCCATAACCTTATGGGGTCTGTACCCAGTATTCTCTTCGTTTTCTTTTTCTCCTGAGTCTCAAGAGTTCACAGAGAACGACCGTCTCTTCGAAATCCATAGTGGCAAATGACACTCCCGATTCCGAAAATGTTTTGTCACTGTCCCTACTCGTGCGCGCACTCCACTTTGGAAACGTGACGTGACAATGACAAAAACTTTAGTCACCAGTGCGCGCTAGCCCTAACTTGCAAGAATGACGGGACACTGATAACATCGTGGGTAACAGCTTTAACTTATAGAATAGAACAAGAATTTAAAATCTATTCGAAACTAAAAAATATTTTGCATGGATGTATAAACTCAGCGCCGTGTATAATAATGGCAAAAACACAAAAACCCCTTGGCCCGGGGTCCCCCCCCCCCCCCCCCCCCCTTTTTTTTTTTTTTTTTTTTTTTTTTTTTTTTAAATTTTTTTAAAAAAAAAAAAAAAAAAAAAAAAAAAAATTTTTTTTTTTTTTGGGGGGGGGGGGGCCAACTTTTTCGTAGTAAAGAAACTGGAATTAACGGTTATAATTATTATAAATGGCGTTATTGCTTGATCTTTTCTTTACCTCAAGAGAACGGCGCAAATGTGACGTAACACAGTGTCACGATACGTAGCGAAGACAAGAGTCTACGGTGATACGCGTAGCTGATTTACGAACAGGATCGAACTCCTTCACCAAATTTCAAGCAAATCCATCATTCAAAACCAAAATAGGTCGACAGCATAACTTGTCTTGTTATAGGGCTGGGGTAACTAAGTGAACCCAGAATGAAAAAAAATCTCTGGAAAATATTTCAAATCTACAAGACAATACTGAATAGTTAATAAATACTCGACATTTTACAAATTGCGAATCGTTAGAAGTAAAATTCTATGGTATGTTAATAAGTTAAATAACTATGATTGTATGTAGGTAATGGGTCTGTTAAAAAATATTACCGCACTTATTCTAACGCGTTTAGTAACTGCGCCCACCATAACTTATTGTTCTCTGTAATCCATTTTGTTATTATTGTCACTGTCAAAAAATTTCACATATATGTATAATACATAAATCAACTATATAGGCATGAAACACAAGTAAAATAAATAGTCTTAGAGTCCCGTGTCGGAAGATTTTTTAAGTAGATATTTTATTAAATATCTACTATAACTTTATAAATAAATGTATTCATTTAATTATGAAGTTATATATAATTTTCTCTTGCTAGAAGGTGCCCCTACAACTTGAAAAGATACGCTATCGACCTATTTTGGCTTCAGATATCGGAAATCGAATCGGAAACTCGATGAAACTTCACGGCCTTTTCATCTGTCGGCGGTGGTTCGTGACACGAACGGATTATAAATATTCTTACCATCCATTTAGTATCCAGATTGCCAGACGAAGTCCAAGATGTTTCAGTGTAATTATATATGTGTATCATTGATTAAAAACTGAATGAACGAATGTTGGACCAGTAGGGGAAACCGCGACTCATGATTATTAGCCATTCATTGCTATCATTTGACCAACGAGCCGTTTTTAAAGTCTGTCAAGGTGAAAAATATAATAAAATTACAACGCAGCCATGCGCGTAGGTTCTTCACGATCAAATTTTATTTTATTTATTCGGAAAAACTTAAAAAACTGCGATGACTAGAGAATTCAAATTTTCACAAATTATGTATTTCTGTAGCCACTATATCTACAGCCTAGAATAAAAACGATATATTAAAAAGGCTTCTTGATTGCAAAATATCAATAACGACAGTACGTAGGCACTTGATATATTATTATAGTCAATGGTAAGGAACAGCTATGTTCCTCCAACTCCTTACAGGTCGTGGTCGTGTATTACACTTGGCTGTTTTTCATGAATTTGCAAACCGAAAAGTTCAAGGTTATACTGTACCTAGTTACTATAGTACACATATGATTAGTTTTGTTTATAATTCGGAAAGCAGACGAACAAGCAGACAACAATAAAAATCACATCACTGATTCTTATTATCGTATCTAGTTTGACGCACTTGCAAAATCAATATTTCGTTTTTCAATTTTGAACAAAAAATGAAATGCGCAAGAGCAATATAATTGGAAACATTTGGAAAGCTTGATACTAGGTAGAGATGTATAAAATTAGCTTATTATCGTTGCATTCAATTATACATTTAGATCTTTAAAATCACTGGGCAAACCTAACCTCAAAGTAAACATATATTTTGTTCGTATCCTAGATCCTTCTTTTATCGTAATAAAATTGCATTATAATATAAATAAGAGATGTACAGATAATAATAAAACTTTATGTAGTAATGGAATATTTAATAGCATTTTCTATATTTTGCTCAATAATAATTACATTAACGAACGCCTTCCAAAATCGGTCAAAACGAGAATAACGTAATTTTTTTTAACAAACACCTGTATATATGTAGCATATCTTATAGAAAATGATCGGGTATCACAGCGGCCATATTTTCGTGTCCGTGTTACTGATTGACTTTGAATTGAATATCGAAACCTCCTTTTAAAAATTAATTTAGTTATTTAGCTTTCAAATAATCTCGTACTGTAGTAATGTTTTGTAAGTAGCTGTGAAACAGCTTACAAACATTAATGTAATTTTGAAATATCCCATAACCGTACATAATAGTTTTTAAGGAATTAAAGGCTTTTTTTTTAATTATTTGATTACTTATTGACTGTCTTTACAGGCAAGTAGATTATCGGATCTTTGTTTTTTCTGTGAGTTTATAATGTAATACAGTATAGACACTTTCTTCATTTTTTAAAAATGTTTATAAACGTATATAAATCTTTACTTTTCTAAAATTAAAAGTTATCGTTATCTGCGCTAGATAAATAGAAAATAAACGTGCTTATTTCTATTTCAATATAATATCTGCGTTTTATCAGTCTGTCTCTATGTATCTATGATTCATATATACATGTTTACTAGCTGTGTCAGCAACTTCGTTCGCGTAGATTAGTTATTTTGGGCATCCAAATTTGTTTTATTGCAAACCTCTACATCTTTAAATATTTACGCTGCCCACGACATCGGACGCGTCCCGTCGCTCGTAACCCGTCGTTCTTGCAAGTTAATCTTAGAAGATAGACATATAGTGCTGATGACAATTTTTTAGATAATTAAAAAAAAAGACAATTCCTTTATACATATTTTTTGGGTGTCTTGTATGTTTTCGCAGCGTACACATCTGAAACCCACAGAGATGAAAAACTTCCCCCGTTTTGTTCCGTTTATCAAAAAAAATTTTTTTATTAATAGAAGCTTAATAAAAAAATATACAATGATTATGTATAATCTATGAAAGAGAACGTTAAATACTTAAAAGGTAAACATCACACATTGTTTTTATATAATAATAGATGAAGACAAACGAGCATGGGGTTCGTTTTATGGGAGGTGAAAAACGCCATCTACACAAGATGCGTGCCGACCTATTTTACCTTTAGATATTCACAAATCCACAGACTGAAACCGAAACGCGATTAAATTTGACGGCTTTTTCATCTGTGGACGGTGATTAGTGATACGGACGAAATTTCGATACGCCTTCCATTTAATATCCAGTATTCCAGAAGTCCAACAAGTTTCAGAAAAATTATAAATTGAAAAATTTTAAACATGTCGGACCCGGTGGGGATCGAAATCGCGACCCGTTGATTATTAGCTATACATTGATAACCAATAGACCAACGAGTTAAATCAACAAATGTTATCCATTGATTGATTTTTGTTTGTATTTGTACTTGTCGAATTATTAGCTAAGTACTTACTGCATTAGCGGTCCACCTCACATGACGTTTGTGTAAACTGTAAATGTACAATTCGATTGTGATCTCTAATCGAGTGTCATAAAGTGGTTGACGGAAGCCTCCGGCTGCAGTTAGAGGCAAAAATCTAATCGTATCGGTCTTGTTCTCTGACTTAGTTCATTGTATTATAGTTAGGATCTTGAGAGATTTTAATTTATAAGTTGAAGTTTACTTATTTATAATGAAGCTGTCTGCTGCTTTTGTGAAACAGGTATTTTTATTTAAACTATTTTAAATTCTGTATTTTGTTTTTAATTTAAAATTATACAGCACTAATTTAATTTATGTTATTTTTGTGTTTGGAATTTTTATTTATATATACATGAATATTGTGGATCAGTGCCCCATATTTTTATTTGCGTAAGGATAAGATCACTTCACTAGAGTTGCTTGTAAATAATCTTGACACAAATGTACATTTCATCTGTTTTTAAACATTAATTATGTGATTTCTTTAATTACTAAATTATTGGTAAGTACACTATTCTTAATAAGAAAAGCAGAAAAAGATTTGTAAACAATTTTTTAAACAAAGAGGCTTTTCAAGAAAGAAAAACGTTTTTTATCATAAAAATATTAAGTATAAAAGACTACTTACTTACTGAAATGTTTAATTACTTAAAATATGTGAAAGATCAAATTATTTGTTGATTTAATGCGTATACATAGAGCATTATTTGAAAAAGTTTCTTTGAAAGGGATTTTAAATAGAATATTACAATAGAAATCCCTTTTTAGTATCGATAACATTAAGTCAAGTTCTTTTTTAACATAAAAATGTGTTCCTAGCCAAGTTTTTCAGGATCTCATCATCAGTGGTCTTTTTCCTACTTTTCGTATGTCGTCTCTCCCTTTTCTTCTTTCTTCTCTCTCCTATCCAATTAAGCTAATCCTAGCCAATTAATTCAAAATTGTTATCCCAATTGTTTTCAAGTGATTAAAATCGAAAATAAATATCGACTCAAGCAGGACTTAAACCGGCATCGTCAGCGTTCCGTTCTGTTGCTCTCACTAGTTTCAAGTGGCTAAAATATAAAAAAAAAGTATTCAATTTAATTACCGAAAAGCAAATAAAAGTACGATATCGGTAAAGTGCTCAACCTTATCTATATAGGTACGGATTTTTTTTCATCACATGATTGATCCACTTAAGAAATAAGTAATATTATCTGAATGACCGCTTGCAAATACATTTCTTATCGCGGAGTGAAAATCTTCGTGACATTTCCCGCGAGAAATATAAAGATTACGATCTCGATCAGCTATGAAATTTTCTGATAAGAATTAGGGATCCATAATTATTTACTAGTGTGATCAACTTTACAAAAAACTCGCCTATGTTACTGAGGTTTAAATATAGACTTACAAATAATTAATTAGTATATTTACTTTACATAACACCTACGGAGCTCAATGGTTTAACTAGACACGAGAGAGATCCCGGATTCGAATCCGAAAATAAAATATTTCCATCAGATAGTACACTGAAGTCTGAACAACTACCTACTTACCATTAAATAAAAAACATTGACGGTTTAAAACGCGATAAATATTAGTTAAACTTTTATTGTGACACCCTCCATCTTTAGTCTTCCCGCGACCACGGCCACTGCAAAGCATCCGAAACGTCGGGCGGTAGTTACAAATAAGTTTAACTAATATACATCGCGTTTTAAACCGTTAAAGTGTTTTATTCAAATGTGTACTACTTGTGTAAACTACAGTGTTTACCTACTTGGATGTAAAAAGAAAGACAGTGAAACGGATACAGAAATGAGTTCGCCCCATCCAGAGGGGGTAACGTGATTTCATTTTAGAAAAACGCGAACCGTGAAACCTTAATTTTAAGTACGACCCGTGTCGTTTTAAGTTAAAATTAATGTGTATTCTAATAATTATGATAAAATTACTTATAGATCGATAAAATCTTTAAAAATCTATTTGTCAACCAAATTCGATGCCATAATTTACACAGCCTAAAACGATTTTTTAATAGTAGTAATATGGTAGCAACTTATCGCTCATAACCAATTCCGCGTTCGACTCTCATCATTTCCACATGTGTCTATAACTGTGTTTTTCTTAAACGATTTAGACTCTAAGTACTGTCAGTAGTTTACGCATTTTATAACATTAAACTTATTTGGTATATGGTCATGGGGAGACGTCGGGCCGTAGTTACAATTATTTCCAAATAAGTTAAACTACTTAATATACATCGCGTTTTAAACCGTCAATGTTATAAAACCGTTTTCTATAAATCTGTAGTACTCGCGTAAACTACTGACAGTATTTAGCGTTTAAACGCGTTTTAAACCGTTAAATTGTTTCATTTAAATACGATTAGCTTGTCTGTCTATCGTTGTTGTAATGTAAACTTGTTTTTTTGCAGCTTTGGTTGACCGTCGCAGCCTCCTTGGCGTTTCTAATCATAGGTCTTGTACGAGGGTACTCTTCATCAGCCTTACCATCAATAGAGCTCCATGATCCACGCCTGATACAGAGTAGTGAACAAAAATCTTGGATAGGTGAGTAATTCGATCACTACAAGGGCTAAATTGGATATTTAATTAAAAAAATGGTTAGACATGAAGAAAATAATTGCTTTTGAAAAATGAAATCGGTATTGTTTTATCTGTGGATACTTAAATTGCGCGCGGCATATACTGTGGGTCCTGTGACGTCATATTCTACAAAACAAACCTTAAGCAGTGTCAAACCGTCCAGAAAATATCGGTCGTGAATACATAAGCGAAGGAGTAAGGAGTTTTAAAGGAGCTACGCAAGCTAAGATTTCACTTGGTGGAAGGTGAAATGTGTCCTGCGTGCAATCAAGTCGATTTCAAGATTCACTGTAAATTTTGAAACATTTTAATCAATTGCCTTATAACAAATTATAAATTCAAAGTATTGCGTTATATAATCTATAGACTACACTATAGACTGTTTGCTAATCCAGGAACTTAGTAAATAAGTAACTGAAATTGTGCATAAATTATGTATTTACCTCAAATGAGTTATGATTTCAACGTTGAGTTGATTTATAGGAAAATGAGATAAAATTATCCTATTGTTTTTTATAAGTCACTTATATAACCAAGGTTCTTAAGCGATATGTGAATATTACGAAAATTTGATTCCCTATCGGCGAGTTTGAAGATAGACAAGTTATATCTACTCTAGGACTAGACGACTTCTTCGTAGAAAACTTGCGTAGGCCAATAAATTCTATGATCTTTGTACTAGCTGTGTCAGCGATTTCTTCTGCGTAGAATAGTTATTTGGGCATCCAAATTTGTTTTTTCAAACTTCCTCTTTATATTTATAAATGTAAGTCATGACATCGGTAGCGTCCCGTCGTTCTGGCAAGTTAATTTTAAAAGACAGACATAGCGTCCCGGAAATTTTCTTAGATCATTTAAAGAGGAATCATTCTTTTACATATTTTTTGGGTATCTCGAAGCGTTTTTGCTGCATACGCATCGGACACCTACATTTCCTGCTGTCTCTTCGCTCCTGTTAGCACACAGGTAGCCTTCCTCGATAAATGTTTCTGAAATTAGCGCGTTTAAACATTTAGAAAACTGAATATTGGATGGTAGGAATATCGAAATACCGTCTGGGTCACATTATCTATTGATTTACGAATGTTTAAAGACAAAAGACACCGATAAAGCATTTTTGCATGACTAGGATGTTTCACCTTTCATCAAGTTAACCAAATTTTTGTCTTTCTTGCCTACTCGGTTATAAAAAAAAAAATCTAAAATTAATGCCTCTATTAATTACCAACTTTACTTTAGGTTCAATTACACCACTTGGATCCTTTCTGGGCAGTTTATTCTCCGGACCTCTAATGCATCATGCGGGTAGACGAAGAACTCTGCAGCTTACCGCCCCGTTGTGGGCAGCTGCTTGGCTGATACTGGGGTTTGCTCCCAACTTTCCCATGGTGCTGTTGGGAAGAATTATGTCTGGACTCGGTATTGGTCTTGTGCTTGCTCCAACGCAGGTCTATGTAAGTGGCTATATTTGGTTGTTGCGAAGGAGATTGTTTTTGACAGTGTGTAATCCTTCCTTATGTGAGGCATCAGACACATTGTCAAAGAATCGTTTAATGTCCGACTAATATCGATTCGAATCCTTTCTTTAAAATAATATGTATTGTATAATATGTAAATCATAAAAAATGGCTTATTATAAGCTATGCATGCGCAGGAGCATGTAAAGATTATAAATATTCAAGTGCTCATGAATCTTCCTATACTTTTTCTACCAATAAAACAATAACGTCACATCTCCGAATAGATGATTGTGAAATCTTGTGTTTTGACATTTATAAATCGAGGCAAGCGGTAAAACTCGGTGATAACATATTGTTAAAATCACATACTTACACAGATCTTATTTTATCGCTAACAGATTTGCTTCGTTTTATCTTGTTTATTTTATTCGTTTTCGCTCGCGATTTTTTTAGCTTGGAAAGTGTTTTATTTGTAAATTTAGGAAACAAATAAAAAAGTTTTATAAACATTTTTAACTAATTAATATAGAAAAATATCATATCTGTCAGTCTGTATGTACAAACATTTATCTCGACTTACGAATTTGAATGAAATTTGGTACAGAGATGGTTTAGACCCTGTGAAAGAACATAGGCTATTATTGCGAAAGGGGGTTGTAAGGAGTTAAAAGGGGGGGTGAAAGTTTGTATAGAAATATGTGGTTTTTGAAGCTAAAACAATGAAACTTTCTTCTTTGGCTTTTTGGGAGTGGGAGTGAGAGTGAGAGTGTTGCGTTAAAGTAGCACTTACAACATAGATTGGCTGCGATAAATGCGCAATTACATAAATTAATAAACAGCCTAAATAATTAAAAATTCTACCCCAAGTCACTATTCCACGCGAATGAAGTCGCGGGCACAGCTAGTGTATAGATAAAGTTGAACTTTTGGCAACATATATGTAGTATCATTAAAATGAACAGTTATTTAAAATTTGTAACAACCAATTTTAATTTCAGAACTCTCAAACACACACACAAACTCCTGAGTAATAATGTGTCTTATGTCACAATTATGATTATTATGTCACAATTCATTGAAAACTTGTTCTTTTTGGATACCGAAAATATATATTACCTCTATGATAGCTATAAGTACTAAAATAAATAAATAGTTATAATAATTGCGTATTTATTCATACAACACTCAGTGGACATAACTAGTGAACTTCAATAGTAAGAACTTATTTTTATAAAATTAAGGTGAGCGAATGCTGTGACCCTGAAATCCGCGGGCGCTTCGGTTCTCTGCCGACCCTGTCCATGTCGCTGGGCATCCTTATCTCCTACGTTGCAGGGACCTGGCTGTACTGGAGACATCTCGCCTTCCTTTCAGCTACATTTTGTGGTGAGCATCTTCGTACCCTAGCGTATTAACTATAATTCTACCAAAGAATATTATTTATCAAATTTCTTGTTTTAGCTGGACTATTTGTGGTATTAATACCATTGCCGGAGTCTCCTGTTTGGTTGGAAACCCAGGGTCTAGATAATGAAGATGCTATAAAATGGTTGCATTTGTCCAAACACGCCGTCGCTGCTGTAAAAGATGATATATCTGAGTAAGTTAAATATTTCTAGTTTAATTAATCTTCTGTTAACAGATCTGTTCAAAAAACAATATAAACACATTAAATAGTAATAGATATAGATTTCATAGAGTACCTACTGTTAATCCTAGCGTCATGTTAATAGGAGTTACGAAATTTTTCACGGCCATCATTCGGTATACTTTTGTATTTTGGGCTCTTCGGCCACCGTAAGCAAGAAGAGGTTCTCAACGTTAATCTGTTTGTCACTTTATGTTATGCCCTGCATTTACTGCTGCAAATATCGGCACGTCGATATTAAAAATTAACAAATCAACATATTTTTCGCGTTTTAAACCGTTAAAGTGTTTTATTCAATGTGTACTTAAAGTCAAAAATCTTATATTCACGTAGGTAACTAGGTACACTTATGAAGGTCAAACCAATTAGAAACTAAACATTCTAAATTTAAATTTATTACCAGTTCTCAAATTAAGGGCGTAGAACGAACTAGTAAGATTCTCTCCTTTCCACTCTTGTAACTTCAATACTCACGTATTGTTTTATTTTTAGACCTGTAAAAAGTATTTCTGGCGATACACAAAAGCCAGCCGAAGCACCGCCGAAGAGTCTGTTCACGCGCGATGTATTTTTTTCGTCTTCCGTGAAGAAGCCACTGGTTATTGGGTTCGCGTTGCTCTTCCTTCAGCAGTTCAGTGGTATTGACACCATCATTTACTTCACCGTTGAGATTTTCCAAAACGCAGGTTCGTATCCAATTTACTACATTAACAAAGTGTAGAATTCTAAAGTGATTACTGCGTTTGTTATTAATATTTATTAACTTTATTATAAGGAAGCCGTCATCCATTCTAGAATTCTTCAGAACCAATAGTTAAAGAAGATAACTGTGAGGTGCATTTTGGGCATAATATTATTTATTTTTGCAAGGAACCTCCTCAGCATTATAAATTATAGCTGATACCCCAAACGTCTTCAGACCAATACTGCCGCGGATTTTTATTACATAATTTCAAGAAGAATCAATCTTTCATTATTTTTGGTTTAACGTACCATCTTTAAAGCGCGTGCAACGGAAGCACGCAAATATTACAGAATTTTATTAAGTTTTTGCTCATTTCTTTTCCTTCGCTCCTATTGGTCGCAGCCAGATGTCCCTACCTCCAACTACAAACAACTTCCTTTCCCTCTTACGGGCACCATCAGTCCTGAGAAGGAAGAAATAAACAGTCTCTTCAGCTTAGTAAAGATGTGATAATTTAATCAATCAATTAATAATTTATTATTTCATTATAGGAAGCACCTTGAACCCTATGATCGCTACAATAATCGTGGGCGCAGTGCAATTGTTCAGCAATGGAGTCAGCACAATGCTGGTAGACCGAGCTGGCAGACGACCGCTATTACTTCTGTCTTCTGTGACCATGTGCATTTCTATGGTGTCTATGGGCGCTGCTTTTTACTTTGAGTTTGCAAATGCATCGTGGTTAGGGTAAGTGAAGAATTTAGATCTATCTCCTAAAATGAGTCTTTTAATAGCTAATCCAACACAACTCGGTATGACGGTAGAAAAACACAGAACGATAAAAATATATCTTTCTTATTCTTTTTAGTGTGTTTATATTGCGAATACATCGTTATTATTTATATTTTTCTTCATTGTATGTACGTATAAGTGTGTGTAAATACTGTCCGTAGTTTATGCGAGTAGTACACATTGAAATAAAACACTTTAACGGTCTCCCAGTTACCACGGCTGCTGCAAAGCATGCGAAATGTCAGGCCATAGTTAAAATAATTTTCAAATAAGTTTATCTTATCACTTTTTAAACCGTTAAAGTGTTTTATTTAAGTCATATTATGTTATTTTTTCTTATGTAAGATTGTATTCTATAACTAAAATGTTGGTGGATTTCCATTAGACCAAAGAACAATAATCCATCGTCGTCGTGGATCCAACATGACCCGACATGATTTACGTAAATTTTTTAGTTAATCCATAATTTTTCTGAAACATGCAGTTGTTTTTTATAACTGTGATATTAAATCCGTCCGGGTCCCTAACCACCGACATTGAATTAAAAAGCCGTGAATTATCATCGCTTTTCCGTTTCGGTCTGTAGATTGCCGAATATCCACATCCTAAATTGGCGTAAGACCGAAAAGTAACCAAAAGTAACCCCATACTTGTCGTTTCTCCTCCGTCATAAAAAATGCCCTCCAGAAAGTTTAAACTCTTGAACGAGTGGAGTCTAGTAATTCTGTAGATCCTTAAACACAAAAGAGCTATATTTTGTTGACTTACGGATTTTGGCAAGTATAGCCTAATCTAAGCATCACGCGTGCAACTGCATCTGCCATATTTGGACAAACTGTATAATATGTTTGTGTGCTAAAAGAATACTGAAAAGGTAAACTTTGCATTGTTCGGGTCAAACACCTTGAAAAGTCGTGACTAGCCATTACAGTGATAATATGACGAATTAACCGTAATTCCTTCGGTGATGTTTGTTAAAGACAAATAAACAATAATCATAGGTATATAAGGTTTTTGCAAAACTATACTATTAAACATTTATGGAGATTGAAAATTATTAACGACTTGAGCAGGAGTTGAACAGGCAACCACAGTGTTACGTTGTAAATCAGGTCAACTGTCAATTGGTTACAACAGAACGAAGAAAAAAAATAAATAGATTTTTAACTTAACTAAGACATCGACAAATATATTATAATTTTTTATGATAGTAATAAATATTGCCAATAGCATAAATTAAAAATCGCAAATAAATTGAAAAATGTAAAACTCGGGCAGGAGTTGAACCGGCATCGTCAGCGTTCCGTGCTGTAGCTCTAACTAATTGAGCTACCGAGTCCTACATGTCATCGTCATTTGAATAGTGCCATCGTGTGAAATAATATGTGAATAATATTAAAGTTTTCAAATCTATGCTAATATGAAGCTGAAGTTTGAAATTTCAAGGACTACATTGCTAATCTGTTACAAATGGTTCTTGAATGATTAGCACTAAGTTACTAAACCAATTTTAACGAGATCTATACTGGTGCTAAGTAAGGGGGGGGCCAATAAGTGACATTTTATAAGGAGCTGAGTAAAATATAAGTTGAATTATGAGCTGAGTAAAACATGACCACTGTACTTTAGAAAAATTACATGATAGCATAAATTAAACACAATGCAACACAACCGTTCAATGTGCTACTTTGCAAAAAAGCAGTGCTACGTATGTAGGGAAAAATTCTTCTATTGTATAACTTCATTTCTCAAAAACAAATAAATAAAATAAAACACTTAACTTTACGCATACACACACTGTTAGGACACGGAGGACATCTCCTCTGGCCACTGCTGCTGCCATCTGAATCGTCGGGTCGTAGTTAAAATAACTTGTAATCAAGTTGAACTAATATATTTTGCTTATAAACCGTTTAAGTGTTTTATTTAATTGTGATATACTCGCGTAAACTAGAAACAGTTTTGAATACAATTTGTTTTTCTACAACATAGTTAGCACTAGTAGGTACAGTACAAAAAGAAGAAGAAGAAAGAATATTGTTATGTTTTTGAAAAAATCTATTTGTGGACATGAGTGAATCGGGCACAAAAATATGCAATAACCTAAGCTTATCCTACTTTTTATGTACTTATATTATTATTAAATTAATCTCATTACAGATACCTTCCCATCATAAGCCTTGTGGTCTTTATGTTGGGCTTCTCTCTTGGTTTCGGCGGTCTCCCCTTCTTGCTATTGGGCGAACTCTTCCCCAAGCACTACAGATCACAATTATCAGCGATGGCCAGTGCAGTCAACTTATCGTCCATGTTTGTGGTCTTGAAGTCTTATCACCCTTTAGAGGTGAGTGATGGGTCATTTTAAATAAGAGTTTTACCTTGCTTATTGTTTAATTTTAAAAGGCAAAGCATTTCGTGACCAGTTACGTGTCATGCTATGTCCCATATAAAGATAGTCAGTAGTCTGTTTCGATACTAATGTTAAAGCCGGTTCGAGTAGTGGTCGTAAAAGAAATATTTTGTTAAAAATTCAAATAAATGGAAATTTCTTTTTATTTGCATTAATCGTTACAAGTTTTTTTACTTTAGTGGACCCTTTTTGCTTGCTTTCACTAACAGTTGAATAATTATTTTACAAGTAACATTAATACAAAAATCAGGCGATGTTAATATTATTTTATATCATATTTATATTCTTTTTTATATAACCAATATGACAGGAAATGTTTTTATTAATTAAAACTTAATTATTTTTAACACATACTACAAAACAAAAAATAAAAGAGAAAAAAACAAGTACTAACTTTTAGCAGCATTTTTAGCAGCGATTTCCTCCAGTCAAACTGAGGTACTAATGATGTATTTACTTTACAGCAAGTGATAACGTCAGCTGGGACGTTTTGGATGTACGCTGCCTTTTGTGGCCTGGCATTCTTCTTTGTCATGTTCTTCGTTCCCGAGACGAAGGGAAAATCGTTAGCCGAAATCGAACAGCACTTCTTAGGTAAAAAACAAGAGACAATTCAGTTACAAAATGTTCAAACTAAATTCTAAGAGCAAAAGATACTAGAGTTGAAATTGCTAACATACAATATACAGGAGATTTTTAACGGACATTTTTAAAGTACACGTAGATCTCTTTATTTCAATAACTTATGACGAATGAGTTTTAAATTATCGTTCAAACTTCAATTGATGTCTTCAGTATGCATATGAGGTATAGGTGATAGTGTATAGACACTACCATATTACGAGTATATGTCCCTTGTTCCAAAAATCAACCTGTATAATTTATTAACATTGTTGAGATGAAAAATAATCAGCATAGTTTAAGACAAAAAAAAATGATGTTTAGATAGATTACTTTCAACTGCCATTTGAATGTTGCGTATACTTTATTTATTATTTTGTTGTCACACTGTTCATAGACATTCTAGTACAGATACCATCGTCAATAATGCTATTCGTTCGAAATTAGGTTTAAATCCTTTGGAATTAAATAGTAACAGTCGGGAAGAGCACAGATTTCACAAAGACAATAAGATAATAAACAAGACAATAAGAAGTAATGTATGAGTTGCTCAAATCCATTGATTATAATTTAAGTACGTAAAACGTTATTTATAAGTAGAGAGAATCTAGGAGAATTCCATATTTTTGTCTATTGACGATTACTTGTTCACCTATAAGAAAGTTAATTAAGAGAATAAGCACAAATGTTTATGAATGTTCATTTATTGATTGATGTTTCAATGCATTTTTTACTTGCATAATTGCAAGTATTGTTGCTTTTAATGCGTAGTTATTTATTTGTAATGTCATTTCAGTGAATTAAAATTTATTTTAAACTTCTTTCCCAATGAAGAGTATGTTGATTTCATTTTAAACTCTTAATCAGTCTAGTATACAATGAAAATAGCTGTGATATGTACATTAGTTGTCTAGTCCTAACCTTAATGTCTGTTTAAAGCATTCGTATTGTGTCTAATGTAAATAGATTAAGAAAATATAGGTTGTATGTTTAATTGCTTCATTATGGCTGTGTAAATAGGATTGTCTAAAAATAAAATGGATTTCTATAATTCCCTTCAATTTGACTTTTATTTGCGTTCTAGATATAGTTATGTATTACGTAACACGCAACCCTCAAGCGCTTTTCATAAATTATATAATAATAAAAGCGTCTTTTTTTGCTGACCAAATGTTTTGATAATTGTTATGGATTTAAATTATACAAAAATACTAATACTTATTAATAAGTTAACCATTTATCTATGTTCTAAATATGTATACTAAGCTTTCATTTTGAACTCCACCTTGCCATTATATTTTTCAACAATTCTATGTTTTTTTTCATTCTATATACTTCATGCCTTAAGGATTTATGTCAACCATATTTGGAGAGAAGGAAAACGTAAGAAAACTAGATTATAAAGGAAATAAATCAATGAACAATGTTAAAGGATTTCACTTAATCATTTTAGATATAAGTAATTCCTAGACAATTCGCGTTACGATAAAAGTAATTCATTGTTATGTTCTGAAGATTTTTACGTGTATATTCAAACATGCAGAAAAATGTATTTGCTAAATAAACAATAAGGCGTCTTTAATGATATAAATCTTAATTTTTTCAATAAGAAATAATTTTGTATACATGGTTTTTTCTTCTTGCAGAAAAGCACACACATGCCGCACAAGCCACAAATAACTATTTATGACTTTAATAATAAGACGTTTATTTACGTTATATTTAATGAACGTGTTTTTTTACAATGCCACTGAAGTTCTTTAATTTTAAATAACATATAACCGACCAATATCAGGCTATCAGATTAGGCTGTATGCTAAAAGGTGGCCATGGTTGATGTTGATGGATGGTGTGTTTGTAAACCGGACAGAATACTTATAGATATTCCTACCAACCATTTAACATCCAGACTTTCCGGGCGAATTTTTCTCTACCTTGTTTTAGAATAATTATATATTAAAGTATGTTAGATGTGGTGGGGATCCACCTGTATTACTACGAATTATACTCCAGATACTCGTTTACTATACCTATGGTACTAGTAAAACATGATTTTATAATGAACCTCAAAAGTGGTTATTAGAAAACTCGTTTTTTTTTTGTTTTTCCTGTTAGCATAAAACCTACATGGTACATCTACCATACTACCATCTATTATCCTTGTTATTATTGATGAGGTCAAACAACAACAAATTCTTCCGAGCAATCGAGGAGTTAACATCCTCCTGATGATGCCGTCCGCACGCCGAGGGGGGGGACCCCCTCCCCCCCCCCCCCCGCGGGGCCCCCCCCGATGGCGCAACGTCGAGAACCTCTTCTCCCCCCCCCCCCCCCGGCCCCCCCCCAAAAAAAAAAAAAATATATATATGTTATGTCTTTTTGTGTCGGTTATAGAATTATCATGAAGGTATGAGTATAAAAATCGCCTTAACTTGGAAAAGACGAAGGAAGCGACCGACGTCGTGGTTAACAGCTTAAGTTTATAGAGATGAAAGGGTTTGCAAAACGAATTTAGATGCCCAAAATAACGATTCTCTCGGACAAAGTCGCTGACACAGCTAGTCCAATAATAAAACCTCTTTATGAAGATAGATTGAACGAGATACGAATAGTTTGTCCCGCGTTCTTAGTAGAAGGAAGTTCTTTGAAATAAGAATGTAATAAAATATCTACATAACACGAGTTATTTTAATTTCCTATAAAAGAGAAGGCGTTGATAAAAATATAATTAGGTTTTCTTTCTCATTAGTTCGATTGAATTATTCTGCGAGTTTTGCCTTTCATTCAAGTTTTTTTTATACATTTGCGTACCAGGATATTAATTTCAATGACAATTATCTTGGATAATGAGTGTACATATAAATGATTATGTATTTTTTTGATATCTTTGAAACGTTTTTCCTTTTATTGAATTTAAGAGATCTTAACATTCATATTAAAATAAAAATATAAGTAAGTAGCAAATGTCTGGCTTTCTATCAGTCAATAATACGAATCTAATATTTTGAGATAGAGGTTAATAACTGATAAGAATGTGATAAATCTCTGATTTGGTTAAAGCGTGCGAATGAGTACGCATTTTTTATAACTTAAATTAAATGAAAGGTTTACGATTTCTTTTTAAATATGCCTATTTGTGCGAGACCAATTCTCGTGGGGATGCCTGAAAGTCATATAAATAAAATAATAAAACTATTGGCTAGCTTTATCATTTTTTACTTGCTGAAAGACGAAGCAGATAATTCATCGATATAATATTATGTTAGTTTATAAACGATTCATGCTTTCTCATTATATATTCTTACATATATGTATAGCGTATTTCAGGCTTTAAAGCCCGAAAGGGGTAGGAACAAGATCTAAACATGCAGGGAATACTAAAAGTGAAGGTAACTCATCTTCTTATATCGATACTCTTGGGGACCACCTTTAAGTTTTTAACATATTAGGTATATTTTATTGTAAGACAGGAAAATAAGACATCATCGACATCTTTTTTTAATATATTAAAGAGACTTCGAATTGATAATATTCGTACCCATTAAAACTCATAAATATATAATCTTGGCATAATCATTGAATTAACATTCCTTATATTTTATTAATTAAAAGTGTTACATCAAAGATAATTAAACGAAAGTGTTTACCACAAATAGGTAGAGAAAATATCTATATAATATCTGAAGACGAAAGAAAAAATATTATTTAATTAACATTTTGCAACATACTATGATCACTAAACTCTTTCGTTTATCCAGCTGCTTGGTTTACTTTACCGAAGAGTCTGTCGTAGTTCTAATAAATATAAAAGTCTAGTTACAAACAAGTACAGAATAAGAAAAGAAGTCAAAATGGGTAACAAAGTAAATTTGTCAGTCATTTTATAGCTCCATCTTAACTCTATCATTTGTTTTATCTATAATAAATATTCAATAATCAATACCACTTATTAGATATAGTAACTCAAACTCTACGTATATATAGGTACAAAAAAAAATCAAACAATTCGAACCCAAGACTTTTGCTGGCAACGCGTTCGACCATTCAGCTACCGAGACGGTCATACGTAAAGGTAAATATAGATTTTAAATTATATTGCGATTAGCGTCGATGTGAGATTTACACACTTCAACCAATTAACTCTATTTCTCTAACATAATACTTAAATATGTAAAAGTAATAATTGTTTTTATTTTTTTTCCCAAATTCGTATATTACTGATATATTTTTTTTCTTTGTAAAAAGTTAAGTTTTAACTATTTGTTATTTATATATATTATTATAATAAGGTATTTTTTTAAAAATAAAACAGCCATGTTCTCCCCGTGACCACGGTTGCTGTAAAGCATCCGAAACGTCGGGCAAACGTAAGTTAAATTTAATATTTTTCAAACAAGTATTTAAATAAAATATATCGCGTTTTAAACCGTTAAAGTGTTTTATTTAAAGCGCGTAGTTAAGGTACTTTTACCCCTTTTTTTTTTTCCCCCCAAAACCTCTTTTTTTTGTTTTTCCGGCTGGGGGCCGGGGGTTTTCCCCTGGTTTTTTTTTTTTTCCCCCCCCCCCTTCCCCCCCCTAAGGACAAAACCCTTTTTCTTGCTATGTTACACTACATGTTGACAGTAGTTACAGCAAAACAGTATATCCAATACTTTTTAATTACTAAAATAATCGATTCGCTCGACTTTTTTTTTGTTTTGGACGTTTGGAAATCGAAACACGAATATAAAATACACGGCTTATTTATCTGTGCACCATTTTCTTTTAATACACACAATTTTCAAAGATCTATCATTCAGGAAATGAAAAGCAAGATACCAAAACGTCGACTCGTTGATTGTTAGACACCAAGTCCGTCAAAAGTGCCTCCACATGATAGCTTTGTACACGGAGATTTTTTATTGTAATCGCTAATCAAGTTCACTATAGAGGCTGGCGGAAGCATCTGGGTGCAGTCAGAAGTGCGGATCAGACGACATCGGTTCTCGCTCACCGCGGCACCAAGTTGTGTTACGTGTAGAATAATATTGCTATGTTAGTTTAGTCTGTGAATATTGAGCGGTAGCACAATGAATATTTCAACGGCATTTTTAAAACAGGTACTTACATTTTTAATTATATTACAGATTAAGATATTGTATTTATTTAGGTAGTTTACAATGTTATATTACATTTAAATAAAACTCTTTAACGGTTTAAAACGCGATATATAAGTCAACTTATTTTAAAATGATTTTTAACTTCGGCCCGACGTTTCGGATGCTTTTGCGGCACGGAGATACTGTTATATTACAATTTTACATTCATTACAGTTCCTTATAATGTAATATTGAAGTAACAAATACACCTTGTTTTACAAAGTACCTACATATTATGTTGTACACTTACTAATCTTAACTACAACAGATTATAAAATTAACCTCTCAAAAGGTATAAACAGATTTAATACCGTGTTAAAAGAATCTAAGCTAGATATACCGTTGCTTAAATTTTTGGGTGAAGTACAAAATAAATTTTCGTATTTATTTAAGTAGCGTCACTAAATAGGACACGTAAAGAATCATTGAATATGAAAAATTACAAGAATTTCTTAATTAGATGTTAACGTATTTGTTAAATGAATAACCGATATAACGAATTATACTACTTAACGATCATTAAATTTATTTTAATTAGTATTTAAAAATTCATAATTAGACGCTTGCGTATTAATTAATTGAATAAATCTATATAAAAGAAGAATTAGTGATAGATGAAATACAACCTTGACTTTTGTGCCTGAGATGCGGTACAAAGGATCGTTGGTTCACTTCCTGCTCAATTTATTTTTTATAATTCGTTTTAGGCATTACAATGTTAAAAGAGCTAAAGAAAATAATCAATACAATGGCTAAAATTGAATAAATACGTAGCTATACTCTGTATAAGGAAATTTGAATAAATAGTGAAAAAGTGACAATTAACTTAGTTTTGATATGTTTTCAAAACTTGAATTTTTAAAAGACACTTCCTACTAAGTCTAGTTTCTACTAGGAACCCGAACCTATTTCATAGTAAGAAAAGGTATAGGCAGAAATAAATTTCTCTTTATACACTACTGCGTGCGTTATTTAAAGGTGTACCTATTACTCGCGAAAACTACAAACGATTAAGAAAATAGTATCATCAAACGCTTATCTAATAATTAGTGAATAGTATACAATCGTAGCTAATGTCGATTTTGTGTGTCATAGAATTTTGTCGTTATAGAGAATCACAAATGCGCTATAGCGAGTTTATCAATGCATGTGTTTTAAGGTAAACCAACCAATTTGTTACAGAGGTTGTATGCATCTATTAGGAATGAAATGATGTTATTTGAAGTTAACACATTTATTTGATGCTTATAATGTACTCATAATATCGCTAACATCAACGGTTCTATTTTATTTTACTTTTTTTATGATAGAGCTGGACGGACAAGACAAAAAACCATGTTCATTTGGTGTAACGTGAAATACCTCAGCCATGTAACATCTCAACTAGATGTGCGGTCGACCTATTTTGGTTTTGGATATTCGGAAATCTTCTTGACTGAAACTCAAACACCATTCAACTTCGCGCCTTTTTATATCTCATACCCACCAGGACGAAGAATTATCGATTTACCTACCACCTACTTAATATACAGATTTCCAGATAAAGTCAACGATGTTTCAAAAAAATAATACACCGATTGAGAACATGTTTGACGCGGTAGGGATCGAACCCGCACAGATCGAACAGCAGGTAGTGCTGATTATTAGCTATACATAGCACAAGACCAACGAGATTATTAGATTAAGGAAGATATATCTAATATTTTTTAGGTGTAAACCGGTTTACTATCGCATTGGCCTTTTTAACCAGACCTTAAGTTTGACGCAACCTAAGCAAGGTCACTTGGGAATTTGTGTCCATGTAGAAATAGTAAAAAATCTAATTACGTAACGAAGACTCTTTGAGATATGCGAATATAAGCTCTCACCTACTACACAACAGTACAGCCAACATTATTAGGATTTTTGTGCTCATGAAAATTTTATATTAAGTTGAAGATTTTGTAGTATACCATGTGTATAAATTGGCAATACAGTCCTTGTTATTTAAAATAGAGCACTAGTTAAAAGTTTTAAACGCATATTTAAGTATTAATTATTTTTAATTTATTTTGACTACGCCCGACGTTCGGATGCAGCAACCGTGGTTCATTTTAAGCTGTTAAAATAAAACACTTTAACGGTTTAAACCACGATATATTAGTAAAACTTATTTGAAAATGATTTTTAATTTCGGCCCGACGTTTACAGTGTTTTATTTAAATGTGTACTACTCGCGTTAGGTAGAGACAATATTCTACGTTCTTCTGAACTCCCAAATTTTTTGTAAAACCCTAAAAGTATTGTAGTGGCTACAATGTTTGTTTTGTAACCAAACACACATGTACTGATGTTTACATCAACACGTGCTCTTCAAAAAAGGATTTGCGGTTACACATATTCAACTTTCACCTAACGTTTTTGAAGAACCACGTGGGAAAGTTTCGACGATCTTTTAAATAATAAGTAGGTACACGAGGGACAAGTTGTTTTAAATATATAATTCTAGATTATTTTGTAAAATAAGTACTAAGTGATATGTGGACAAGCTCGTTTGTCTAATGGTAATAATGTATCAACGGGTCGTGGGTTCGATTCTCAATCCGTTTCTTACTTCTTTCTTATCAATTTATTATATTTCCGAAGTACGTTTCACTTTAAATACTGTCTATAGTTTACGCGAGTAGTACACATTTAAAAAAAACTCTTTAACGGTTTAAAACGCGTTTTTATTTTAAAAATTTTTGGGAAAATTTTTTTTCCCCCCCCCCCGCGTTTGTTTTGTTGCCCCCGGCGGGGCCCCCCCCCGCGGGCCCCCCCCTTTTTTTTTTTTTTTTATTTTTAAATTTTTTATTTTTTTTTTTTTTTTTTACGTTTCACTTTGTCTGGAAATCCGCATACCATATGAGCGGTAGGAATATCGAAATATCTTCCGCGTAACGAGCCACCGTCCACAAATGAATAAACCTTGAAGTTCAGTAGTCCAAGTATCAGTCTGTGGATTTCCGAACATCCAAAGTCAAAATAGGTCGAGCACTGAGGAATTTTCACTTTTCAACAAGTAAACCTCTTTTAAATAAAACACTTTAACGGTTTAAAACGCGATATATTAGTTAAACTTATTCGGAAATAACTAATATATCGCGTTTTAAACCGTTAAAGTGTTTTATTTAAATGTGTACTACTCGCGTAAACTATACAGAGTATTTAAGTCAGTCAACCTCTGTTTGCATTCCTCTAAAAAAAAACTTACATAAAAACATAGTTAGCACAATTTAGCCTCTTTGGTTAGACGTGAGAGGTTCTGAGTTCGAATCCCTGTGTAAAATAGTTTCACTTGGGAATACTTAATATATTGTTGTAAAATATAGTACAATTTCGTTTCGCACTTGTGGGGCATGGGGCAAACACATTACGCGTGTTCTTACGACATTAAGTACTAGTTAGATTAGGTGTGTCACATAATTTAAAATAGTACTCATAATTATGCGATTGTTGTAAATTGCTCTTTTTTCAGTATTTTATGATTTTTACATGATTATGAATGCATGTATGATGTAATCCATAACTTACATAATATTATGTTGATGTTTATCGTTCATTCATTGTCCTTAAAAGTGTAATTAAAATTTTACACGGGTTGAAGTCTCAATTCACATATTCAAAGTGTTACATCGGCGGGATTTGAACCGGCATCCTCAGTGATCCATGCTGCTCTAACCAATTGAACTCAACGAGCAGCAGATAGATAACGGATTTAACAATTCATAAATAAAGTCCCGTTTGCTTGACATAGGGCATTATTAGTAGGATTTTATTAGAAAGTTATACTTCTGAACTGCAATAGTTTTAGAAAACATTATTATATTTGACACTTTATTGTACACGACACGAAATTGAAAGAAAAAATGATGTCATAGTACACGGTAGCACGGAACGCTGTGGACGCCAGTTCAAGTCCAACGATTTTTAATTTGTCTTTCTTTTATTTTACCTTTGAGTTCGAACCTAGGACCTCTCGTACTTTATCTGATAATCTAAACTTCCTTTCACTTATGAAAGACAACAAAGAGTCGACTCAATTTAAATTAACCTTACGTTTGTATCGAATATGAAATTGCTTTTATCTATTTATGAAAAGAAAGTAACATAATATTTCATACAACACAACAAATTTGTCTCCTGTGACGTAAGTCCATGTCTGTAGCATTATGTGGTGAAATGGTTGTAAACAATTCATTTTGACGGGTGCTATATGGTATTATATTGGCTTAAAATAAACAGAGTGTAGATCCAATTCCCATTAGATCCAACATGTTTCAAACATCAATTATAGGTATTTCTTAAACGTGGTATATAGAAACTACTGTCCGGGTCACGAACCATCATCTACAGATAGAAAAGAGGTGAAGTGGGAATGGTTTTTAGAATGTTAAACGCCAAAATAGGTAGTCAGAGCATTTTGTTTAGATGTTATATTGCGAAGACTTAGTTCAGCTTTGATTAACTACAACAAATATGATAAAACTTGGATAATATAGATAGATTCCCTATTATAATTATATGCAAATATCATTGGTGCTAGACGTCACATGGACTCGTAAATTTTTAAATATCAAAATGCAAAGTTAGGTTCTTAGGTCAATCAACTTTTATGGCGGATAAGATAATATAATCTTAGCTATAGACACGATGTTTTTTATATCTATATCAGAGCTCGGAAGTCGTATAATCGTACAAAATACAAATCGTAAATCAATGTCAACATCTAAAATGATGCTGCGCTTTTATAATTTAAGAGACCGATAGAGGTAAGACGCAATATAATTTATTCTAAGCTTTTATGAGAACTAATCAGTTAATAGAGATAGATTAGACGAACGGGTCTAGAACCCACGACCAACGCGTTACCTGTGTCTACAAACTAGCTACATTACCCATGTCACGTCGCGGTCGTCATTGAATTTGATCGGTATTTACATGCACTCTTGCGCAATATAATTTCTTAAGATTGTGTTCCTTTTTCAAATAGCTTTATAATAATAATACAAATAAATAGTTTTAAAGAATCGGTCGTTTAATTTGAAAAATGATTAATGAATTATACAATAGTTTCGCTGTGTATAATATAGAGAATCTGTTTTTTTAGGCTCGTGGTAAAACTTTCTACTAAATCTATAATTGAACATGTAAAGATTAAAAGCATAAGATGGTTTTCAACGGATAAATAGATAATATGAATTTAGTAAATAACTAATTACTTCTCCTTTACGAAAGAAATAAATTATGTAGTTACTTACATGAATGGTAGGGTTCTACTGAAAGTTACTAAATATACTAATGTACACTACTATATACATATTTTAAAATAATAAAAATGCACATTCGTTTTTTCTTAATTTCTAAATAGACATTGTCTGTCTATACGTCAAATAAGTACATTTGTCTTGCACACACATCATGTTAAAGGTCAAGGATGAACTCGTCCACTGTTCGAAAATTAGAAATGACTTTACAAATAGGAACTGTATGACATAATACTGTCCTAGGAATTTAAGTTTATAAGGTCGTTTGAATGTATAGTTTACGGTAGAGTTAAGTTATTGTTCTATTAATATAATAACAACGAACAAGGAAACGCCACTGTGCTCTACTGTCTTTGAAAACATTCTGACGGGCTCGTTGGTGTAATGGTAGCATTGTACGGCTAATAATCTACAGTCGCAGGTTCTATCCCCACCGGGCCAGACCATTTTTAATAAATTTATAATTTTCTGAAACCTGTTGGACTTCGTCTGAAAGTCTGGATGACCGTCACGAACCACCGTCCACAGTTGAAAACGCCGTCGAGTTTAATCGCGTTTCGGTAACCGTCTGTGGATTTCCGAATATCCAAAGCCAGAATAGGTCGACAGCGTAAATTGTTTAGTTGCTATTGACTGGGGCATTTCACTATCATCAAGTGTTCGCTATGCTTGTCTGGCTCTATTTTCTTCTTACTACCTTCTGCATGTTTTCCAAGATACTTTTTACTTAATTAATACGTAAGAATTTATATTACAGCTATGGTTGACCATTGGAGCCTCTTTGGCGTTTTTGATCATTGGCTTGGTTCGAGGATACACAGCATCTGGTCTTCCGTCAATTGAACAGTACAATCCTAGCCTGATAGGGAGCAGCGAACAAAAATCATGGATAGGTAAGTCGATTGGTTACAGTTAATTATCAAAAAAAAAAAACAAATCTATTCATCAAAAACATAATACATGGTTCTATTTGCTACGTAAACTTTTTTTTCGGTTGGAGATAATATGTCCACATATTACATGATAATCACTTTGACATCGTATAAAAGTCTAAACTAAAATAGTCTACTACAACCTTACGTACTACATTAAGAACTTTAAAAATATAAAAATAAATAAGCGTCTTAAACGTATAAATGATAAATTGAAAAGAAAAAACACAATTTAAATAAAACACTTTAACGGTTTAAAACGCGATATATTTAAGTTTATGTTTAAAAATTACTTTTAACTACTGCCCGACGTTTCAACAAGTCTAACTAAAATATATCACGTTTTAAACCATTAAAGTGTTTTATTTAAATGTGTACTACTCGCGTACACTACAGACAGTATTTAAGAAATATAACTGTTCATTTACTCATACAGCTGAGATTAAAGAAAATAAAACCTCTATAGTATACTAAAGTTAAAACTAATAAGCCCAGTGCAAACAGGGTTAGACCCTCAGCGTAAGCAAACAAAGCTATATCACTGGTTTTCAGCACGAACCCAAAGTGAAACCCTGATATAAGATTTTGTAAAAATAATACCTTGAAACCTTCATAAATAATAATTAAAACATATCTTACAGGTTCAATTGCTCCTTTAGGAGCGTTTCTTGGGAGCATGTGCTCTGGGCCCTTGATGCAAAGAGCCGGCAGGAAGAGAACGCTACAACTCACCGCGCCTCTTTGGACGGCTGGGTGGCTCATACTTGGTTTTGCTCCAATCTTCCCCATAGTTCTTCTGGGTAGACTCATCGCTGGTCTCTGCGTGGGATTTGTGCTTGCTCCAGTTCAAGTTTACGTGAGTAGTGTGTTGAGGGACATTGTTGTTTAAAATTTTTGGATACTTAAGCTTACCTAGAGGTAATTTATTAATTAGAAGCTTAGAAGCCAGCATAGCTTTTAAACGAGCGTGTACTTATTGCCTATAAAAACAGCGATTAACAATATATGCATCTCTTTTTTTACACGGAATAAATATCTTTTGCACGTTTCTTAAAAATATTGTTAGGCGAGGAAATAATTTAGAGTTTGTCGTTTCGACAACTGTTTATAAAATTGTAGAACTTTCGTAATAAAACATTGTGTTAATATTATTTCACGATATTGCTTATTAAATAATCGTAATTATGATAATTCTCAAGTATACGTATAACAAATGCTCAATAATGTTATAAATACAAAGAAAAATCTTAAGTTTTGAACTGTTTAAAACAAAATTACACCTGAAAGATTCTAGGCGAGTGATAAAACCTTATATTATAAACTTTTTCGTGATATAAAGAATATTATTATTGTTCTTTTGTATAACATAGCCTTGTATAACACCGAATGATAGTGTTTGTCCTACTAAAACATAAGAGTACACAAAACGTGTTAGGTAATAGTGAGTAAATTTACTGTAGACGTATGGTGTAACATAAGCTCACTTTCCAACAGCAGCCGTTGTAATCCTAATTGATGTAAATAAAAAAGTAAACATTTGCTCAGAAAAGTGAATCCAATTTTGTCACTCGACGCGCGCCACGTCTCCACCTAGGATGAAAGGAAAATTTCAATATTTGCAAAATGTCGCTCGACAAAATTTCACTGTTGAATTTGTTCAATATAAACAAAGCATAATGGACGTAATGACCGCGGTCTTAAACTATGAAAACAATATGGAGATATTGTCAAACATTTACTTTCGTAAGCGATGGAACATTTTTATAAAAATTGCGTTTATGGGCTTTGACTTTTTAATGTATTTGACGTTGCGAATTGATAGCGAGTCGATAAACTTGGAACGAATGAAAATTAAAGTTTTAATCGATAAATTTTTGTTCATAATTTGAAAGTTCGTAGTATTTTTGTATTTTTTTTTTAATCTTTATACTTTAACCGCCATAGAAATGATTATTTCATATTTATACTTTTTAATTAATAATATTAATTTAGTTACAACATTTCTTTTGCCACAACTTTTTTTTATTCTACGAGTATAATAACATACATTAATGACAGTTTAATACAAGTACTATAAAAACTCCTTTTGACATAGAATTCTGCAATCATAACTGTCAATAATAGATTTGCTTCGGCGTATTTAAAATGACTGTAATGGTTCAAACCAAAAAACACGTTTTTTAGAACCGGTTGTCTGTTCTTCTTTATATTTTTTAGTATATATATATAACATGTCTTATATAGGTACTATTTGGTATATATAACTTTGTTTACACCTGTACATAACACAGTTTAGCTTAAATGTAGAAATGAGTCACAATGAATATACCTAGATAGAATTATTCTCTCCCTGTGTGGCCATTAAACTTCACTACCTTAACTTACTATTACTAGACTTAGCTATTGAGAATTGATGACACATTGACCAACATATTGTCATCAGTCCAGTTGTCATAAATTAGAAAGTGACACATTTTAAGTGTCAAATACCAAATGTTTTACTCCTAGCGCATACGTGGACTAGTTACTTGTTTTTTTTTATAAGGTCGCGCCGTAGTTAAAATACTTTAAAAATAAGTTAAACTAATATATATCGCGTTTTAATTATTTAGTACTTAATTTATAAAGCCAATACATTATTTTTAAACTTGAAATGAAACTTGGATTGATGTGTTCTGAATGTATTTGTTAAAGTAGACACGATTTGTCCATTAGTTTAGTTATATGTCATGTGGTTCTTAATTATTATAAAAAATTGGAACGGAATTGTTCGGTTTTAAGGTTCCGTATCAAAAGGAAAAAAAGGAAGTTTAAATAAAACACTTTAACGGTTTAAATGTGTACTACTCGCGTAAACTATAAACAGTATTTAAGTAGGAAGTTCTTACAGCAAAGGACCTGTGATTATTTATTTAGCGAAAAAAAGGAACAAACATATATATTACACAAATTATAAGTTATTTAAACCTCACGGTGTCTCACAACGAAAATATTATATGTTTTTTATACATAGTACCTACTTTTATGTACATAGTAATTTTGTATCACCTTCGTCACTAAAGGTTTATTTATTTCCTTGTCTGCGACATCTTTCTTTATGACCAATCGTTAATAAAGATGACGATGCAATGTCTTAAGTACCTTTGAGTAGATGAGTGATGATACAGGTCGTGGAGTTTAATAAACACCGGGTTTAACATTTTTCTAATCAACTTATTTTATGAAACATATTGAAAATTAATTTGGTGGTACAAATATTGAACATTCGTCCACAGATAGAGCAAACTCCGTCAAGTTTAATCAGGTTTCGGTTTCAGCCTGTGGATTTCCGAATATCCAAAGTCAAAATAGGTCAATAGCGCATTTAATTTAGATGTTAAATACCCCCCCACCACCCGAAAACGAAACGTCGGGAAAATCATTTTCAAATAAGTAACTAATATATCGCGTTTTAAACCTTAAAGTGTTTTATTTAAAAAATTGCCGTGGCATTTCACCTACCATCATACTCGTCTGTCCTTCTCTATCATAAATAAGTTGGTTACAGGTGAGTGAATGCTGTGATCCAGAGATCCGTGGGCGTCTGGGTTCCCTCCCGACGCTGTCCATGTCATTTGGAATACTCATCTCCTACATAGCTGGAAGCTGGCTTTATTGGAGATATCTGGCGTTCCTGTCGGCTACATTCTGTGGTTTGTATTCATTATTCATTATATAGATAAAATCTATACTAATAAATATAAGGCTTAAGAGTTTTTTTATTTCGCTTATCTCATTCGAATTGAAATTATTATATGCTAAAAATAATATAAGAAATAATAAACGAAAATAAAACATCGCTCTGTGACTAATAGGAGCGAAGAGACAGTGAGAAACGTGGAGAAAAGGGGGAAACTTATTTATCATTGCGGGTTTTCGTTGCCTTGCGAAAACGGCTCAAAATACCCAAATAGTACTTGAAAGAATGATTCGTGTAGTCTACAAAAGTTTACATATACAAATAGCTCACTAAAATATACAATTGCCCTAGTCACATATGCAAAAGACATTGACGACACAAAATAGTAATATCCTGCAACATAAGTGATTTGATATTGAGGTTAAAAATAGTCTAGGATCCTTATTACGGAATCGACCACGGAAAGGGCGTTAGTAAGGTGACATTTTGGAATTGAAGTACGGATGTGTGCTTGGGTTTTATCGACACGTGTCAAAATTAATTAAATTTAGATAAAACATATAATTGCGATAGTGACAATGTAAAGGGAAATCCCCTGTGTGGGGTATGGGGCAAATGTTTGTATTTACCCCGTGTTGGTTTGATTTACAAGCTAGTGATTGATCAGACTTCTGTGTGCTGCCCGACCGAAACTATTCGATTTGAATCCACTCGCGCTAAATGCTGATATTTGCTAAGTTAAGTTTTAGACGCAAAATAATTCTTCTCAAATAATCAACAACGACCGATCGCACGACATAGAGGGGCTTCCCCCTCTATGTCCACCTGTGTACACCAAACGTCTGAAATGAAATATCGAATTTATTACAAACAAAAAAATTCTCATTTTTGACGTCCTTAACTAATCATTCATTCGATACAAAAGCTATTAAGTTATTTTAAGCTGTATTAAATTGTTATGAATAACGAAATGTAATGTTGCTTCCAGCGGCTCTGTTTGTAATTCTACTTCCATTGCCGGAATCTCCAGTGTGGCTAGACACACAGGGGCTGAATAATACAGCTTCTATGAAGTGGTTGCATCTCTCTAAACATGCTGTTGCCGCTGTTAAAGATGACATTCCAGAGTAAGTTAATATATAAAATACTTAGCAACATCTGTAGATTACGCAAATATGACACAGTTATATCGCGCACTTTTAACGGTTTTAAACGCGAAATATAATAGTTAACTTATTTAGAATTTATTTTAAATATGTCCTGGCGTTTCGGATGCTTGTAGCCGTGGTCACGAGGGGAAATGGAGGGTGTCCCTAATGTCAAAGTAAAAAAATTAAACGTCTAAAATAAAGAGCATTAACAGTTTTAAAATAAAGGACAAAATACTTTGATCTATAGTTTTTTTTTCTACTTTGCCACAAAAAGCTAATTAGCTTATTGTTTATTTCCAGGCCAGTGAAGAGTGTAACCGGTAGTTTTGTAAAGCCAGCGGAGGCTGAGCCAAAGAGCCTATTCACACGAGAAGTGTTTTTTTCGTCTTCTGTAATAAAACCGCTGATAATCGGATTCGCGTTGCTGTTTTTCCAGCAGTTCAGCGGAATTGACGCCGTCATATTTTTCACGGTCGAGATCTTTCAAAAAGCAGGTAATCGCTGACACATGAAGCAACAAATTTATATATTGAAATAAAAACTGTCCGCCCGTTGTTTTCGCACGAATAATGTATGAATTTGATTTATTGTAGGGATAATTTTTTTTATAGAAAACTAACTCTTGCTAAAAATACTATTTTAATGTAGAAAGTGTGATATTTTTTAATGTTCACCTACATTATTTGCTAAGAACAGAAATTAAAGCCTGTTACCCGTATGACCCAGACACATTACTGTGTCCGTATTACGGACCGAAACCTTTTTGTATACACATGAATCGAACGTAGTCTATCATGCTCAACACACGCCGCATCACAACTAAGCCTCGAAGCAAATAGTATGAAAACTTTAATATTTTGTTTGTTCATGATGGCACTATATAAACTGATTCGGTAGCTCAATCGGTTAGAGCAACAGCACAGAACGCTGTAGATGCCGGTTCAATCCTGCTCGAGTCGTATTTTTTTTCAATGTGTAATTAGTTTTTAATTTAATAATAATAGTCGTGAAACAGCGCTCGCTTCAATATCCATCTACTTTTAATGGGAAAAATAAAAAATATAAAAATAGCTTAGATACTAATAACTTTAAAAGATAGGCATAGAAACAGAATTTTTAGAATAGATACTAGAACATGCAAAGGGGATGTAGTCGCCATTCATCTTCAATCATTGACTTGTGCAATGACTTGATTGAAGCACTTTATCCGTGCTTTAGGCTTTTTGTCATACAATATATTTTATGTTATGCCGTATGTCAACGTTCGTATTGTCATAGTTTTTTAACAAGTTCCCTTATTAAAAGGTAACAATGAATGGCTAATAATTAACAATAGGTAAACATTAAAAACCTATTTAGATTTTTAAAAAATGATACAAGTGCAGCAGTTAAAGCAGCAGCACGGAACACACAATATACACTGACCTGGCTGTAATTTTCAATTTCTAAAGATAAATTAATAGAATGAAAAATATACAAAAGTCAAGTATTTAAAGATACAGCAGACGTACATTAATTGACAATATTAAGTTATAATTAAAATAAAATACTTGTAACGGTTTAAAACGCATGTTTTACAATTGATTTAAAACTTCGTGCGGACGTTTTAAATGTTTAAAAGTGTTTTATTCAAATGTGTACTACTTGCGTAAAATACACACAGTACTTAATGTTACGTAATTTTTTTGTAAATTAAATTATGATTTATCTATGTGTTTGATTGTTGAAACTCTAGTGGGGTACTTCGATTGATTGTAATTTCGTTCTAATTTTGTTCTATTTACAGGTAGTAAATTGGACGCAATGACTGCTACCATAATAGTGGGCGTGGTTCAATTATTCAGCAATGCCATCAGCACCGTTCTGGTAGATCGCGCAGGGAGACGACCCCTTCTTCTTCTATCAGCCGCGACGATGTGCATGTCCATGATTGCAATGGGAACCTCATTCTTCTTTAACTTTGAAAAAGAATCGTGGTTGGGGTAAGTATACATACTATGGATCTAACATGAAATACTTATATTAATATCAAATTCCGTTGCGTAGTTTTAACGACATAGGGACAGAAAAAGGGATTTTGTTTTTTTCTTTGTGGTGAAGCTTACTATATCCATTCACTAAAGATGTCGTGTTGAAGTTAAGATAGTTTAAGTAACGACTGTGTTTTTTTTTATATACTTAACTTGGCTTGACGTAATCCAGTAAAACTAATATAGTGTACATTGCATTTTCAACTAAACAAATTGTTTGCACTGTAGACGATATAGGCTAACAAAGTAACAAAACATTTACCCGGAGGTCGATGATCCATGATCCGTGAGTAGATTATACACTGTTGTTAGAATAACAGCATTTTTGTGAATTAGAGAGGCCAAGGTCATCCACATTAGAAGGTTACATTGAGATGTAAGCACAAAAATGGTACTACTTTTATGTTACTCAAGAGCTTTCGTAATTCTAAAACTTGATGTCTTGCTCAATCGGAATTACAGGTCCGGATCAGCAACTATTTATTTAGTTAATAATTAATTATCAAGCAAAACCACTCACTTGTCTAACAACAAATTCGATTTGTAACTTCATACTTTTCAATAAGTTTTGGTTTCAGGGTGGCTTGAATCCATTACAATTCGTATATATTCGTACCATACGTTTAAACGAACTACAACGCTGTTGCCTAGCATGCGTTAATCACAAGAGGTTCTGAATTCGAATCCCGGGAAAAAAGTAGTTTTTTTCGGTCAGGCAAGGCATAGAACTCTGATCAACTCCTTGCCTGTATATAAAACCGATCAATGAAACGGCCACAAAAATATGTTCTCCCCAAGTCCCACAGAGAAACGAGATTCCACCATGTATTAGTTAGAGATATTCTTAGATATTACAATAATCCAATTAAAAATACACAGTCTCCCTTGGTCACGACTGCTACAAAGCATCCGAAATGTCGATACATTTCTCGTTTTAAACACTTAAAAGTGTTTTATTTAAACCGATAAAAATACTACTTTTACGGTTTTAATTAAGTTATTTTTTTTAATTTCAGGTACCTTCCCATTGCGAGTCTCGTGATTTACATGTTGGGCTTCTCCCTCGGATTCGGTGGTCTTCCCTTCCTCTTGCTGGGGGAACTCTTCCCGAAGCACTACAGGTCGCAATTGTCCGGAATGGCGAGTGCAGTCAATCTGTTCTCCATGTTTTCCGTGATCAAGTCTTATCATGCGTTGGATGTGAGTCTTTTATTCTAGAACGATCGACAATTTAATTTATGTATACTTTAATTATATAATTCTTTAAATATTTATTTATATATAATTGACATGTCTAATAATAAGTGCAAAAAAAGTTAAATATTTAAGCTGTGTGTTCTGGTTTGTTGATATATGTAAGAATAAGCAGTCATATTGAATTTTCAAAATAATATTTCCAAGTGAGAAAGATTTAACATAAATGTCTTTCTCGTTTTTCAGCACGTGCTGACATCTGCCGGGACATTCTGGTTGTACGCTGCGTTTTGCGGCGCTGCATTTTTCTTTGTCGCGTTCTTCGTACCCGAAACCAAGGGCAAATCCTTGGCTGAAATTGAACAGCACTTCAGAGGTAGAGAAAATCAAGAAACCGTGGATCTGCAGAATGTACAAACTAAATTTTAGCCTCACTTGAAAAAGCCCGCCGATTGCTGTGCCCGATTCCAAATTTGAAATAAGGTTTATTCTATTAGCAATAATTAAATATTTTATGTAAATATTACCTTTATCAAAAAATAAAATATTTTTAATCTAAGTAGGTAAAGTTGTAAATGAGGCTTCAAAGTCTAAGTTTGACACATCAGTTCGATCTAAGCGTGAACATAATCGAGACGACATCTGGTGGCCAAAGACATATACTAGATTGTATAAAGTATTAGTGTGAACTAAGCTATAATTAATTAATTATAATATTTCTGGAACATTATCTGTATTCACAAATGTTGAAACAACATATATATATATGTACATTGTAATTACATTGTATTATGTCTTGTATTAAAAATCTCATCGTTATACAGCATACAAATTAGGGCAATATGAGATTAAAATTTAAGTATCAGGTATGTATCAAGCTGTGATACAATAAGGCTAGGCCCAGACTATAGACTTTCTAGCATTCTCTTTTGACGCGTCTGACAGAACTTTTTGGGTTGAAACCATTTTTAGATCCATATGTAACACATTCCATTTAGTTAGTCCTTACAGATAAGATGTCGGAATGTTAAAAATATAAGTTTAAAAAAATTATCATTTTCCATACGTTAGTATACTTGATGACACTATATAAATTAAAAATTCGACGATGACGTGCTAGGACACGGTAGCTCAATTGGTTAGAGCAACAGAAAGGAACGCTGTGGATGCCATTTCAAGTCCTGCCCGTGTCGCAGATATTTTCAATTTATTATGGATTTTTAAAAGAAAATTATTTGATAAACCCACTATAAATTACCCCATTTCAAGTTTATTCTTTGATTTATTTAGATCTTCTCTGAAACTAACGCCTGATAGAAAGTTTGAATTTTGCGCATAGCCTGAGAAATATTATGTGTTACTATTTTTTATCTAGTCTTAAAAATACAAATGAGCTATGAAAAAAGTATTATTTATATAATTGCTAAGTAAATTAATTGTTTAAAAATATTATTAAGTAGTTTGAAATGTTACAAAGCTAATGATTTGAATTTAAAAATAATTTAGATTAAATACTGTCTATAGTTTACGCGGGTTGTAACCTTTTTATTAAAAACTTTTTTTGGTTTTAAACCCCTTTTTTTTTTTTTTTTTTTTTTTTAATTTTTTTTTTTTTTCCCCCCCCCTTTTGGGGGTTTTTTGGGGCCGGGGGGGGGGGGGGGGAAAAAAAAAAAAAAAAAAAAAAAAAAAAAAAAAAAAAAAAAAATTAAAAAAAAAAATTTTTTTTTTTTTTTTTTTTTTAAATAATTTAGATTGTTATATTATAATATTAAGTTATATATTTCTGTTTAGAAGAACTTGTTACAAATATATTTTATGACGAAAACTTTGATGCTTACATTATTTTACCGTTTTAAAATTATATTTTTTTTTTCGAATATCTTTTTTTTATTTATCATATTACAAAACAATTACATTTATTTACATACTGATGGCAATAAAAACCACTACTACAACAATGCTATCATATCCTAGTTGATTTTTTTTACAAATTTCCTCCTCATCCTTATAAATATAGCTGTTATTTACACGTCGGTCGCGTTCCGTCGTTTTTGCAAGTAAATCTTAAGAGATAGACATATTATATAAATCATTATTTCCTAAAATTTTTGGGTATCTTAAAACATTTTCTCAGGGCACGCAACTGAAAAAAACAAACTCGTCAGCTTTGTAATATTTACTAATAGGAGAATTCAATATATTCAAATAACCATCGGTTGGCAATATTTCGTGACAAATAACATCGGTGTCATCCCCGAGTACAGCGCGGCGCATGCGCAACTGAAGGTATTTATTATATTACACAATATGTATCGTGCTTTGGCCGCACTAGATTTATCAATAGGAATAATTGGATTCTGTTCATTAGCAGAGCTAAACTATTCAAAAAGATGAAATCTAAATTAGAAACATACTCTAGAAATTATTTTTATTGTTAAATATTGCAAACGTATACAGAATAAAGAAGATTCATTTTATTTAACCTCTTACCCTACCGACCTCTTACCTCTAACCCTCTTAACGGTTTAAAACGCAAAATATATTAGTTAAATAATAAAAAAAATCCCTCCTTGACCACGGCTGCCGTTAAGCATCCGAAAAGTCGAGCCGAAGTTATAAGTTGTAATTAATTTAACTAAAATATATCGCTTTTTAAGCCATTAAAAGTGTTTAATGAAATGTGTACAACTCGCGTGAATTACAGCCAATACTCAATATTTATTTTCTAACCATTGATTATAAGAAATAATTATAAAAAACATACCTACAGACGGCGGGAAAATAGTACGTACATACCTAAAATGGAGTTTAAATGCCGTTGTTTTGTTTTGATACAAAAATTATAGTCCCTAGTAAAGAATGACTATATACCTGCAATTTTAAATAGAACTACGAGGTCTTTGGTAGGCTTAGGTAAATAGATGACGGTCTTATAATTAATATATTTTAAGGCCATGCTAAAGTGTCCAGGCTCTGCACGAAATAATACCAACGAAGAGACACGAAACGCGTGAGGTACTCTCACATTAGTGCAGTGCTTCATATCACGCGCTTCGTTACAATTGCACCTATATAAAGTCGAAACTAATGTAGTTCGATACACTTAGAACCAGAGTTTCAATAAGGATAAAGCTTTAGTGTTAAAGGTCCTACTCGACGCACTAATACAATAACTATGATGATTCTTGTAAGTAAAATAAATTTATTACATAAATTAAAAATCGATTTTAGATTAAAAAATATATGACACGGGCAGGATTTGAACTGGCATCCACAGAATTTCGTACCGTTGCTCCAACCAGTTGAGTTACCGTGTCCTACACGTCGTCGTCAATTTTTTTTCAACCTTTTTAAATGTACCTGTAACGATAAGAATTGATAAATATGAAAGTAATAATTTATAATTTTTTGTGGAACTTCTCTTAATAATATTATTTACTTTCAGTGGACATTTTGCCTTACGGCTCTTGTCTGGACGACCAGTAAATGTGAACCACCAGTGAATAGCTATCTACCTCCAGGGTCTGGATCTGGTTCGGGGCCATCTTCCCAATACGGTACTCCTGGGGTAGGTGGTCAAAGAGGATTATCTTCCCAGAGATTTCAAAACCAAGGACCAGGCTCGAGACAATCTCTATCTCCCGAGTATGGTGTACCAGGGCAAGCTGCTGGATTTCCAAGGGGTTCTCAACGTGGTTTCGGTCAAGACAATCTTCCTAATTCTGAATACGGAGCTCCAAATGGTCTCAGCAGACAAACTGCTCTGGGAGGCGTGAACCAACCTCAGACTTCCTACGGCACACCTTTTCAAAGTGGCAACAATCCCTTCGGTGCACGTAACAGTCAAAGGCCTGACACTTCTTATGGTACACCATCAAATGGCTTCCAGTCTCCCGAAGATTTTGGCTCTGATGGATTCACCAGCCGTGGCTCATCCCGGGTTGGAGGCAGAGGTCGTCAACCTCAGAGAGGCTCACCTTCTTCTTCATACGGAACCCCTGATTTCGGTAATGATCTAGATGGTAGAAATGAGAATTATCGTGCATCAGGGGTAGATGGTTCTTCAGTGAGTATTTCATGTTTTAAAGAACATAAAACATGCGGAAATGTTATTACAATTGATTAAAATAAGAACTATTTGACTATAATTTATTGAAGAAAATAATTTTCAGGAGCCTGCCAAGTATCAATTTAGCTATCAGGTAGATGATGCCGAAACCGGTACACAGTTCGGTCATTCTGAACAAAGAGACGGAGATGTAGCAATAGGGGAATATAATGTATTGCTGCCAGATGGTAGGAAACAAATCGTTGAGTATGAGGCTGATCAAGAAGGATACAAGCCTCAAATACGATACGAGGGTTTGTTTATTCACTCTTATTCTATTTCGTGTGAGTTGTATGTAACGTAGTTGTTCCATCACCAACGATGAATGAAAAAGAAGTAGAGCCGCAAGATAATTACTACATGACTAGCAGCAAATACTTATTGTTTAGGTTTTATAATGTACCAACATGAGCTTCCTGTGCTATTGAATCTACAAAGCGTATGCGCTTTAAATATTTTAGCGACTTCTTACTGCCTAAGGTAGCATTGGTATTTTCATTCGGACAGTCATTCATCAGCTATTTTTATGTGTAGGATCTTTTGCTCTAGTAGTTCCTTTCGTACGGGAGGTGGTGCAACTGCCCAATAGATGTGTTTACTTAAACTAAAAATTACTATTGGAAAAAGATTTAAAAGAGCTTATTATTTGGTACTATTGCCAATGTTGGCCTCGATAGAAGTCGCATTGTAAAAATGTAGTACAAAAGGGCTTAAACACTACGTTAAAATATGTGTTTTAAAATAGTGTCATCAGATCTTCACAAAATAGCCCTTTGTTCGGTAACACTGTGTTCCGTATTCGTTTCAGTGGACACAGCTCAGCCGATCTCTTTCATAACATAAATGTTTCAATATTTCACTTTTTATGGATTATTTTGACAATTGCAGGCGATGCATCTGGTTCCGGATCTGGTTTCGGGCTTGGTAAATACTTATTTGCTTTCCATTAATATTAATCTCAGTTAATTATGCAATGCTTATACACAATGATAATGAAAATTTCCGCTCTCAGAGATATTTATTATTACAAAATGTTATATGTTTTATCTGTAGTTAACTAGAGTAAACGGGTAATAGTATGCATTGATTAACGGTTTAAAACACGAAATGTATTAGGAGATTTAAAAGTAAAGATGGCGGGTGGGTCTAATTTTAAAGTCAACTTTGCTAACGAGCGACACTGTATTCCCGTATGTTTTTAAAAGGTTATAGATGAAATAAATTTACTTATTATGCATATTTTATTGAACAACATGGTATTAATATTGATATTTTCAATAAAGGTGGTGGTCGCGGAGGCAACTTAAGAGGTGGTAATCAAGGCTATCCAAGGGGTGGCGCGAATGCTGAGGCGTTTGCTGGAGCTGACGCTGGATACCCACGAGGCCCTAACTCCCAAGGTGGACTCGGTGGATTCGGGCAGAACGGACCAAGCGGCCAAAATGGAAATTACCCCGATTCTGGATACCCCGGTAGGAGAGGCCAAGGCCAGAGAGGTTCAGGCTTTGAATCTGGCAACGACGCCGATGGATACCCTAGCGGAGGACCAAACGGCCCGAGAGGATCTGGATATTAACGATGATATAACTGATGATATTGTAGCTCAACTGTCCCATACTTATATAGCCTTGTAAATAAATAATGAAATGAACTAGACCATGTTTTAAAATATTTAATAAGTATTTACCTCCTTTGTAAAAGTTACAAGCAATACATTCGATGTACATTTTAGCCGCAAAGGATTTTGAAGTGCATACATTTACGAATATACAATTTACAATATAAGCAATTGGATAACAAAATTGAAATATATAATTTAAAATTCGAAAATAAATTGAAAAATTTTTGACTCGGCAGGACTTGAACCGATGTCAACGTTCCTCGGTTGCTCTTCCAACTCGAAAACAATTGAGTACTGAGTCAATGAATTTTAAATTATATGGTGCCTTCATATATTAATGCTTTGAAATATTGAAAGTTTAAATGCATTGAATGCTTATTACTTAGATATTAGTAATATAATTACCTAAATAAGGATTTAAAAAAATAATTTGTATTAGAAGTACCATCACCATACTGGAAATTGACAATTTAAAAACACTTCCTTGACCTGTAAAGAAAAAAACCGATATAATTAGTAAATTTTGTCGTTAATTTTCAGTTTAGTATTTTAAACTTTTTATAAAAATCTAAAAACCAGTAAAAACATCAAAGGAAAAGGTGTCGGGTAAAGTTGAGATTTGGTTATCACCACTGATTTCGAAGAAGTAGTCTTTAAAAATCACCATACCTACTATAGCAGTGTGGTGGGTCTATACCTATAAACTCTTATGAGAAACTTGGGCTCGATAGTGGATCGTACTAGGCTGATACAAAATAAAAATTAGGTATAAACCAAAGACCAAAGTCTTAAATAGCAAACTTCTACAACGGAAAACGTATTTTTTTATAGCAACCAATAAAAATTTATTATAGTATTTAAATAAAATACAATGAACGCGAAATAAATAACGTAACTTAAGACATAATTGATTAACTTCTAAAACGAACATTTCAGATCCCCTGCTTGTGCAGCATCTGAAAGGTAGGCTTAGAGGGATCAGATTATTAATATTTCACGTTTTAAATAGTTTAGTATTCTATTTAAATGTGTACTACTCGGGTAAACTATAGACAGTATTCAATTAGTTTTTGCTTAAAACTAATCCTTTTAAATCTTTAGTCTTGTTTCCTTAACATTTAAGTAGTTATATATATTAATATGAATCAAAGTAATTCAGGTAATCATAAGAATAAAATTAATTTCTTGATATGACCTTGATCGTTCTGTGATTCGGGAACTGGCAAGTCTGTTTCGTCCATTCCATAGTTCGCGTTTGTTTCCCTATTCTGCATTAGTCTTTTTATTTCTTCGTTTAATATGTCTTCTGATATTGGATCTATTATGTTGTCTTCAGCATGCACTATGTGATGCACAACTTCATCCTGATATAGAGGTGCTATAGAAGACTGGCACTAAAAAATGCATAGGTCGAAACTAGTAATAAATTCCCATTCAGAGAGTACAAAAGCGAAATGCAAATTTTATTGAAATATTTTATTACATTAGTACGTGAAAGTGAATAAGAATTGATAATAATTAAAGCACGAGACGATTTTACTGCTTTGGGAAGAATAGGATAATATTCGTTGGTAGTTCGTTGGTCACGAAATTTATTCTATCATTTACATTATCGCATATATAGATGGTAAAGATATTTATACTAAGTCCTGTAATATCTAAGTAAAATGCGCTATCGACCTCTCCTTTGGATATATGAAAAAACAGAGACTGAACTCAAAACTCAAAACTCGTTTATAAAGTTGTTAAACGTAACTATACCTTTACTTGCAATACTCCCTCCTTAAAGTGTTCACTTTGAACAATAAATCTTAATTGCATTATAGTTTCTTTGGCATCGGGTCGTTCTCTCGATATTCTGTACCAAGGACCAGTTGTGTACCATTTCGGAGCCGCTTCATTATTTATGAGCCATTTTAAGTATGTCTGAGGCCGCGATCTAGATGACGTACAGTTTACGGCTAAAATGTCTCCAATTTTATAATTATCCTCCAATCCTGTGACTTGAGGTCGTCTGTAAGGCAATACTGAAAAATATTGAATGAAAGTAAAACACACGTATCATATTGCCATCATAATTACTTGAAATGTATTTAAACTCTTTTATAATATACAAAGGAGTTCTGAACCGATTTCATTGTGCTATTATTTTTATCTGTTGTGTAATAAATAGGTCAAGGTTATCAAGTCATGTCATTGGTTGCAATAGGACCTGGGTTCGATCCAACAAATAGTCTTGAATGGGCAGAAACCATATTAGAACCGTACCTAAATAATAAAAGTTCAAATGGACACAATAGGTAAAACGAACTTTATTTTTTTATCAATAACATGGAATAAAACATCACGCAGCCAAAATTAATCTCTTTCCGCTTCAGTACATAATCAACTTTGTAACCGAATTAAAATTTATTACCCACACAGAAGCATAAATACGGCGGGATTGGATTATGGAATGATTGGTGCGAATAATTTATTTGACTTTAGCTTAGTTGCATGCCAAATGTGGAGCCAGGGTTAAACTATGGGTCGTGTCATGACTTACAGCATCAGTAGAGGACAGTAAAGGAGTAATATTGGTCCAATACTGTCTGTTACCAATTAAAGAAAAATGAGTTATCTGAGATGACTTAGACAGAACGAGATCCAACGACGACGACATTTTTACGTTAAGCAACATAATATACGCGTTGCTTCAATGAGTATAATAGAATAATAAGATTTTGCCTACTCACTACTACTACGGTTCTCATAGGTCGATGACACTGATGACACTTCACTAATATAATTAGAATAGAAAGTGACAAAGGACAAAATAATCCACAATATTAGCGAGTAAACAAACACTAACTTACAATGTATGCTGACGTTTTTCTCATCAAAGACGGTCATGAAATAAGGTCCTTCCCCGGACACCTCGCAGCGATACAGCCCAGCTGACTCCGGTGTCAAGTTTACTAACTTTACGACGTTGCTGGATGAATCTTTCTCCTAGAAATATTTATTAAGCAGTTTTACGTATAATTATAACAAATATTTTTTATGATTGACGAGGATATAAAAGCATGGGGCTGGGGGCCTACCAACAAGTGGAGGTAGGTATAACATTAGTAACAAGTAGGTATAACCCTATAACAATTTAAACAAGATGCAATATTAACCTATTCTGGCTTTGAATATTCGTAAATTCAAAAACGTAACGTAAGATAATTAATTACTTTTATCAGAGGTATATCAACCTGGTCACTAAATAAATAATTTACTTCAAATTTAAATCAAAGCTTACAAAGTAGTTCATTTCAGAGGTTCATTGGTAATTTAATATCAAGAATTCATAATATTGACCACAGAAATACTTAGGTACCGAGCTATTACTAGGTTTTAACATTTTATGCATAAACATAGGACCAATATGCATCGCATGACATCTTTGTGAGAACGATCGAAAGAGTCTTTTCACATTTTTGTGTACTTTTGTCACTACTTGTCAAATGTAGGTTAGGTGCTTATATCGTCTTATGGAATCAAGTGTTTAACATGGTAGCCAGTCCTACACCATGAGAATTGGAGCAAACAAATTTTCTCAATAACATGGCCGATTTTTTTTGTTTATTTTGATGTCTTAATTGTATAGTATTACACACAGTTAATTAGGCTGTATGAAAACATCAATCAAAACGTCCTTATAAGTGTACTAGTATTGTACAATATACAACTTCACGAAACTGCACTTCATTTCCAAAATGATCCTTCATTACATGATCAACAACAAGGACATTTAACTTTCTTCAATTCTTTATTTTATTCTATTCGTCTTCTAGGTCTACTGTTTCACTAGGCAAACTTAACAATACCAATATATACTTTTTTTATTATATTGTTATGATTTATTCTACTTACGTCAACATCGACTCCGTCATTTGGAAAGTAGTGAAACGGTACAGTATTACTAGGTACATATCGGAAGAATTCTCTCCCATCCTTGTACCAGTTAGTGGAGTACAACATCTCTCCTTCAAGGTCGTAGTGGCATTGAAGAAGGACAGAACCGCCTTCTACAGCGTGGCTCGGCACTGTTAGTTCTGTGATGCGAATACTTATCGCGAAATCTAGAAAGGTTAATATAATGATTAATACTTTTTATAAGATCTTAGCTGACCTGGCAAACATTCTTTTGCCATGTGACGAATTACGAGGAAATTGATTCCCGTTAGAAATTTTAAGTAAAAAATGGTTCTTCTAAGTTTATTTTAAAAGATAGACACATATAGTATCAGATATCGGAGTCTGATTATTTTGAGATTATTTTTTTAATAATAATAAACCAATACAAAGATAGTTTTCCAATTTCAACCAGTACTTCCTGAGATTAGCGCGTTCAAACAAACAAACCAACTCTTCAGCTTTATATATTAGTATAGAAATACAACAAAAAAACACATTAATTCCTTCTGTGCGAGCATACTACATACACACCTTTGTCTATTTCACTATTCGATAAGCCAGTAATTAATCAGACTACTGTGTACTGTTTACGTAAACTATCATGTTTCCCCAGGATTCGAACCGAGAACCTATCACGCTCTACGCATTGCGTAAACCACAAAGGCTTAATCTTAATATAAAATATTTACAAGATCAAAAAACAATAAATTCTGTTTTTGATTATTGTATAGAATGGTCTAAAACAAAAAGTAAACTAGCACTTGTTACCTTGTTTCAAAACTAACAATAACAAAAACATGTAAACACTTTTCCCACACATTTTCACTTTCCACACAGACCGGAACTTCATAAGTCTATTCTCAAATCAAATCACTGTTTCCGGTTAGTTTGTTAATCTATTAATTAATTGGTATCCCTTACGTGACAATGTGCTCAATAAAATGTACTGTTTGCGGTGGTATAGGCATAAATAGGCCAGCAAAATTCCGGCGACGCGTCTAATTTTAAAACTTGACTGTCGGGCGCATGCGCAGATCTATCGCGGATTTTATATTTTCCACATATTGCGTGTGCCGTATAATTTATGCACCTTTTATTAGATTATGAAAAAGGAAACACTGTTCGCTGAAAAGAATTTCTTTGTAAAGAATTTTGACAGTTCAAACTTTAAAGGATGCTTTATAATTTAAGACTAATGTATATTTTTAATTACAGCTTTCCATCTTTTAGATGCGACCTTCAGGCTTCATCTATATATTTTGCACGAAAATTAAAAAAAATGCCCAAGTCGGGCCAATTAAATTTCAGACTCTTTTTCTATAGATTTCCAATGCAATTCTATTTTAGTTACTTTTATCTTTCAATAAACAAACTATTGCCAAGTAAACTAAAAAGCAGTAAACATTTAAATAAAACACTTTAACTGTTTAAAACGCGATATATACCAGTTGAACTTATATGAAAATGATTTTACCTAAGGTATGACGTTTCGGATGCTTTGCAGTAGCCGTGGTCACGGGAAGACATATACACCTAGAGATAAACTAATAATATCGCGTTTTAAAGCGTTAAATTGTTTTCTTAAAACATGTACTACTGGCGTTATTTGTTTGGATTTGAAGAAACTACGTACCTACCTCATCAAAATGTAACATCCTATAGGAAATCGTTCGCGTGACGGGCGGGGTAAGTGGCGTAAATTTTGTCATGTTAAGTTCGCGGTCAACGTGACGAATCTAATGCGAAAATTGCCCCGTTCAATGACTCATTTGAATTTTTAAGAATATTCAATTAACGCGTTTCACAGAAATAAGCCACGACACGTGACATATGTTAAGAAATATTTATTATTTTGTCTCCTTCATTACTTTGATTACAAAAAGCTTAGCGTTCGCGTGTTTTTAATTATTTCGACATATTAGATGTACACATACTGTGTTAGCTATGATGTTTTTAAAGGTTAAGTTAATATTGCTAAGATGGTTAAGATTCAAATAATAAAGTATTATAAATATTACCGTTTTTTTCCAATCTTTTCATAAAAAAACATCGATTGATGACAAAAATAAATACATACGAAAAATTTTTTTTACGTGTTATTATATTTATATGTTATTAAAGTTAAAAATTACAAAAAATAATTTGGATGCCAAAAATAACTATTCTATGCGGACGAAGCCGCTAACACAGCTAGTTCTCAATGTAAAATAGATTTTGAATAAAAAATTAATACTGTAGCTAAAATATAAGTTAAGTACAGTCCTTCATGATCATTCACTTGACACTAGTGTACTCTGTGTTGGAAATGCTGTGTACATAAGCATTGAATTTTTCATGCCTAAACATGTCGCGCAGTTCTGCGAAAATCCTAAATCAAAATTCTAGTTTGTATGCAAGCCACGCGTTTGGTCCGCTGTGACCCCGAGAGATGTCACTAAACTAGGCGATTTGTGCGTGATATGAACGGGTAACCGATTTCTACACTATAAGAGGGACCAATTTTCAGATTTACAGATCACAATATTTTGTCCAAGCATATGAAATATTTCTATTACATTAGTTTATTTGTACTGCTTTTGCTGTATGAATCTTGAAATTTATACCTTAATTGATGCTGATTATTTTATGGTATGTTGTTTCCCGTGATACACTCGAACAAAGAAAATCGTGATGGGAAAAGGAGAAAAAGTGACAAGAGAATTAAAAAAAACCCTTAAAAATTAACTACGGCCCGACGTTTCGGATGCTTTGCAGCAGTCGTGGTCATGGGTCACGTAATGTTTTTTTTTAATAAGTTTAACTAATATTTATCGCGTTTTAAACCGTTAGAGTGTTTTATTTAAATGTGTACGTACTATCCACATCAACTACTTTTCTCCTTGTGGACCAAGGGACGAACATATTTCTGTGTCCGTTTCACAGATCGGTTCTATTTACAGTCAACTAGTTGATTAGGCATAGTAAACTATCTAGCGCAGTCGCGTGGTCGGAAAGGACAAGTACAAGTACACTACACTACAATTATAAAAGAATATCTTCTAAGTAATTACGAAATTGTGTCTTTCTCTCTATTTTACAAATTCTCGTTAATAATAGGTTGTTATGTTGTTAAAATGTAATAAAGTTTATTTTTCAGTTAACACGAATGACACTAAATAAAACGCAAAAAATATACTTACTAGCTGTGTCAGCGACTTCGTCCGCGTAGAATTTTGCTCACCAAAATTTGTTTTTGCAAACCCCCTCTTCATCTTTATAGAATTAAACGATTGCCCACGACGTCGTTTGTGTGTTTGTTTTTGTAAGTTAATCTTGAAAGACAGACACATACTGCCGCAGACATTTTTTTTAGATCATTTAAAGAGAAATAATTCTTGCAACCAATTTTTTGGGTATCTTGAATCGTTTTCGAAGCGTACGCATCAGAAACCTACAAATTGTTATATTCTTTTCCCGGTTTCTCTACATTTCCTGGTGTTTTCTTCGCGTCTATTAGTCAAACTGACGACTTATATTCCATAAATGTATCTACACAAAACAGTAGTTTAATTCGACTCAGTCGTTCTTGAGATAAGCGCGTTCAAACAAACAAACTCTACAGGTTTATATATTAGTATAAATTAATTTTTATCTCAGACTTGATGTTTATACCGGTCACTCTCTCTTTGAGGAAACTTAAATTAAAAACGGTTTTACTAAAAGTTAATTGCTAATCAATGTATAAATAAAACCACATCCAATAAGCAGGTGTTGTACAAACTATGTACAGTTTAAGAATGTTTTTTCACTTCTCTAGTTGCCCTTACGAGTGAATAAATGTATTATTTTCTCTCCGAGTCGTGGAACAAAACTTCACGGTTTCAATTCCACGTGTCGGCGGGCGGAAATTGAAAAACAACAACGAAGAACTGATGTTTTACAAACAAGGCCATGTAACTCAAACTAAAATTGTAGATATGTATCGAACAACATATTTTTTGCTCACACTTGTTATATAAAACATTATTCTCATGACGCCCTACTAAAGTACAATAAGGTTAGGGATTCATCGTCTTCGCTGTTCTATGTTTAAACACAATATTCAACTTTAGGCATAAGCATTAAGCACGAGAGGTCTTGTTTCAGGCAGAAATCTGAACAGGAATTATTATAAGTTAAAAATCGAAAATAAATTGAAAAAATTTTCGACTCGCGCAGGACTTGAACCGGCATCGTCGTGCTGTTGCTCTCGATGTCGAGTAGAAATTTTTTTCAATTTTTTTTTTCGATTTTTAAATTATTTAGTGCCTTCATATGCACATGTGGAAAATATTAGTTTTCAAAAAAATATTATAAGTGTCATTTCATTTTATCAGTACCTGAATCCATGTTCGAATTTCTTTATGTCAACACCAAAAAAATTCATTTTGACATTTTTCTTTTGAGATTGAGACCCAATTATAGTTAGTTAGTTATTTACAATAGCTTTCTTAGCATATCTATGTACCTATATACAAATCCCCGTCCGGTATAATTGTGATTTTTGATAATACGAAGTGCTAAAAGTAAAAAGTTTTGTCGGGCTTGTTGATGTCCAGGTTGGGTTCGATCCCCACGGGGTCCAACATTTTTTTTAATCAATTTAAAATTTTTATGAAACATGTTGGACTTCGTCGATATTTAATAAGCGGTCGGGTCTCGAACCACCGTCCCCAAATGGTAAATTAGCTTAAACGCGTTTTCAGTCTGGGGATTTCTGAATATCATGAGCCTTAATAGATTGACGCACATCTTGTTTAGATGTTATATGGCTAGGGAATTATACCTTCAGGGTTCCCTCAAAGCACCGTACAGGGCTGGTGGTGTGTTTAGTGTTTCTGGTCGGCTATACGATTTACCACACTCCGTCACGTGTCACACTTGCTCGACATGGGCGTGCATTAGGCATTCACAACATCAGTTAAATAAATAGGTATTATACCTACCATCAAGCGAACCCCTTGTATGGCTGTGCTTCTCTAAAAACGTAGTAAACGCGTATAGTACACATTCAAAGCACTTGTTACGGTTTACTTGAACTATTTTTATTTAGGCCCGACGTTTTAAGGGTTTTATTAAAATACATATGTCTATTCGATAAGTGTATTTACCTGTTAATAAAATAGCGAATTAGTTGCCTTGTTAAACAATGGTCTGCAATTTTCAGCGAATAAAGCTATTTGAGAACATTTCATATTCTCTCCGCCTGCGTTAATTAAACGGGGTCGAAGGGACGAATAAACTTATGTGGTTTGTTGTTAGACCCTCGCCCTACATTACGTTCAATCAAAGACAATAGCATTACGAAATTAAAATTGTTTATTTGTTCTTGCAATTTCCTAAGGAAAGAGCGTTATTTACACGGTGTGACAAAAGGAGAAATAAATCTTAATGAAGCGACCTTACTTGTACCAGGAATGAATGATTAAACGTAGCTCCTTCGTTTGTTTTTGCTTGAGCGTAGACTGTGGGGGATAGTGTGTGGAGCTCGAAGGGGAAATTACTCCGCCCGCGGGACCTCGTACCAGTAAATCATCATTAACGCCACCGCGCTCGTGAGACACGCCTCGTCTTTATAAAAGATTCAACTTAATACAAACGAGACGAACGAATAATGCGAAAATTACATTGCCTCAAAAAATCTGGGAGGCCGTAAATCAAAGTAAGGCTGGATTACCTGTGCACTGGAATAATTGTGTTTTTAAATTACCTTTTTTCGTTTTCGGTTTAATAAGGCAGAAATATGTGTTATTCTCATTTTAAAAGTTAAAACTAATAAAAAAATATGTTTTTTTGTATTAA